AAGGATGCCAGGCTTAAGCGAGCCATCCAAACCGGGCGACCATGCAATATTTGGAGTATTAAAATCACCAATAATTAGAAATCCATCCTCCCTGCCAAGACCATTCAATACAACCTTCTCTAAGTTCTCGTAAAAACACCTGACATCACTACTATGAAGATCTGGTGGTAAATAACATATACATACATTTAGAATAAATACATTATCTTTAGAGTAAATAGATAACCAAATGTCCTCATACTTGCTCTCCCATGAAGCGCGCCTTACAACATTATATTGATTTTTTACAGCCACAGCCACGCCACCTCCGTCAACTTTGCTAGAACAGGAGGACTGTCTGTCCCTTCTAAATATGTTATATCTCGAGTCAAACAATTCAGAATCAAATACAGAAGAATTTAAATTAGTTTCTGTAAAACATATAAAATCATAACCACAATTTAAAACATTGAAGTAAATATCACTAGTTTTAGATCTCAAACGGTTAACATTTTGATAGTATATTTCCATCTGTTAATAGTAATAGAAGTACACAAATATAAAACTACACTATATTAACTTATTTAGGGATAAGGTGTCCTTTATGTATATCGCAGGAGATGTGTCGTTCTTTCTGGTATAAATTCGACCGTACTTTATCCACACGTATTTATAATCCAGTTCCTTGGCAGCTTTTCTCGTTGCAGCATGAAGTTCTTTTGTCTCAGGAGACAAATGTTCACACACATAAATGACAGATTTGTCACCGGTAAAATCAAGGTGAGACGAATTAAGTGTAGCGGATTTGTTTTCCTTATTGAACTTTTTAAAAGCAGACAGAATACAGTCACGGTGGCGTTCGGATGGGAGCGTTACCAATATATTTCTAGGGCGATTGTTTGAAGGATTCAACTTAGCAATTCTTCTGATAGAATGCACTTCAGAATCACTAATAGATATTTTAATAATGTCGCATAACTTCTTAAATAAACTTAACAGGTTTTCATTCCTTCTTTCAGGTACCAAATGTATTTCCAGATTGCGGCTTCTTGATGATCTTTCCAATGATACTATACGATTATTTAAGCTAGTCAGACAAGATTCTACTTTAGTTTTTTCAGCCTCCAAACCAACAATTCTATTTTCAGCCCCACTAATTTGGTCCTTTAAATCGCTTTGTTGTTTAGTTAAAAAATCCGTAGTTTCAGTAAGTTCCAATTTTAGTTTTAACAGCTGAGTGAATATCCTCTTTTAAGGCAGATCTCATGGAATTCAATTTAATGTCTAGTAGGTTACTAAATTGCTCGTATGTTATAGTACCCGATGTGGAAGTTAAACTCTGGGGTTGATCTTTACTCTGAAGCGATATATCTACATCACCAGACACCATGGATGTATTGTGCGGTAAATCATCGCATGACATATCAGTTATATTGGTTTTCGTTAGATCAAATTGTTGACGGACTGGGGTACAATCATTTCTCCGACGCGTGATTTGTGCACAATTATGACATTTCCATGATCGCTTTAATTCAAAAAGATTATCTTTATAGAACTTAGTTTGCATATTCAGGCATTTATAGTGATAAATATTCTTGCAGGCATAGCATCTTAGATAGTCGTCACTACATGCTTGATTGTTACAAGCGAGACAGATCATAGTTGGTGATATAAATCGATATATTTAAACTGCGTTCTTAATGCAATATATCTCGGTTATAATTCAAATAATAAGGGTACTCAGCTTGAGTCGTCAAGAAGTCTGAGCAACGATGTACAACGATGACTCATAGATGCGAGCCGGCTGCGGGTTGTCGTAGGTCAGGAACAAAAATTTAAATAGTCGTTAACTTTCACTTTTTGAAATTTTTTTTTTACAATTACTTCTAAATATCAACATTAATTTAAGTTTGTTAATTATACTATTGTAATATTTTTTAAAGCTTATCGATACATATAACTTACGAAAGGAAAATGCTAAAAAACACTGATTAAAAACTCAAATAATACGGAACTAAGAAACACAGCTGTTGCCTTGTCGAACTGAAATTGATAGAATGAATAGCCGTATTGCATCACTCGCACCAGTACTCGACGGAGATGGCTTACTTCGCGTGGATACCCGTACCAAGTCTGCTCCAGGAGTAAGCGAGAACGCAAGATCACCAATCATCCTGGACGGTCGCAATTATAGCATACGACTCTTAATATTCCATCAGCATATTCAATCAGCACACTCATTCAATGAGTTCATCCTAAATGAATTAAGGCAGAAGTTTTGGATTCTAATGGCAAGAAGCACTATCCGAAGCGTAGTAAAAAATACCTGTCTGCAGTGCCGAAGATGGAAAGGCAAAACAATCAACCCAAAAACCGGCGACTTACCATCACACCGGTTAGATCACCATAAAAGGCCCTTTACACATGTCGGCCTTGATTACTTCGGCCCGATAATCATAACTATACATCGACGCCACGAGAAACGGTACGTTGCTCTTTACACGTGTCTAGTGACGAGAGCAGTACATCTAGAAATGGTCACCTCGCTTTCATCTGATGCGGCCATTATGAGCCTGAGACGTTTCATAGCTCGCCGAGGATCTCCATCTACCATACATTCGGACAATGGTACCAACTTTGTCGGCGCCTCCCGTGAGCTACGAGCATTATACAATGACTCAGTAGAAGAATTTGCGACAACTCACAAAATCGAGTGGCACTTCATCCCACCAGCATCTCCGTTTATGGGCGGGGCCTGGGAGAGGCTGATACGTACTGTCAAAACCGCCCTGAGAGCCTGTCTAAACGGTAAAATATTAAAGGAAGAAACCTTAACAACACTCTTACTCGAAGCAGAAGCCATCGTTAATGCGAGACCGCTCACGTACGTCCCATCATCACCACACGCACCAGAAGCACTAACGCCATTCCATTTCATACTGGGTACTTCATCAACAGAACCATGGACATGCTCGTTAACAGATGCCGACTTGGTACGAAGATGTGACTGGAAAAGAGTGCTGCGTCTTGCCGACCATTTCTGGGCACGATGGCTGCGTGAATATTTACCCACGCTCCAACCAAGAGGATCGAACAAAGAGGCGTTAAAAGTATGTGAGGGTGATGTGGTGCTTATCGCGGACGCAGAGGCCACGAGGGAGAGTAGACTCTCCCTCGTGGCCTCTGGCCCCTAGGGAGAATAGTAAAAGTTTACCCAGGCCAGGACGGAGTGGTCCGCGTAGCGGACGTCTTTACCAAAGGCGGTACGTTGCGCAGACCAGTCCGCAAACTAATTTTATTAGAGACTGAGCCTCGACCGGCCGATGCAAACTCTTTAGACGTTATTGTACTTTTTTATATACATTTACTTTTGGAATAGAATAGAATAGAATAGATTAGAAAATCATTTATTCAAATAAACTTACATTGAAGCACTTTTGAATAGTCATTACATTTTTTTTAATCTACCGCTCGTTCGGAAAGCTGTCTCATCACAAGAAGAACGAGCAAGAAACTTGCGTGTTGCTCTTTTAAATAATTTTATTATTACTTTACATTTTTAAGTTTAAGTGTGTGAATACAAACCACCAATTAGCACTAATTCAATTAAATACTCAAAAAGAAAAAATATTGAATACATAACCAACTGGTTAAACAATTAATAAGAGGAAATCAGTCATAGTGATTAGAGCAGACCAGTCCCTACAAGCAGCACCCGTTCACGAGTATGACGGATGAGCCAGCCATCACTGCGCTCGACCATATTTTAGGGAGCCCAATGACCCGGCCCACCACGCCGCCACAAGTCTGGACATTTTAGTGAGCATGACTACTCAAAACACTAGACCACGTCAAAGCTACTCACAATTGCCATCTGATAGTTATAGTATTCACATTTTACATAAGAATGCATGCGGCAATTAATACAAAAACCGCTACGCTTTCATATTTCTAAAATCAATCAATTAAATCAAGAAAGCAATGAGAAAATAAAATTATAACGTTGTATGCTAATAAACTAATTATTTACTTGATATGTTGTCATCTATGAATTCGTCTATCCTGTAATAGGCTTTCTTACATAAAAATTGTTTAATATAAGATTTGAATTGCCTCTCTGTCAGATTTAATGCAGATTCTGGCAGTTTATTATAAAATCTTATGCAATTACCATAGAATGAATTACTGATTTTGTGCAGACGGCATTTAGGTAAAATAAGCTTATTTATATTGCGTAAGTTTCTACTTGTACAGTCTTTGAGTTTTTTAAAACTATCTAAGTTCTTCCGTGTATACATAATATTTTCATAAATGTATTGTGAAGTAACTGTGAGGATATTTGAGTCTTTAAAGCACTGACGTAATGACTCTCTTGAACCCATACCATAAATAGAACGTATGGCTCGGCTGCTTTACCCCACAGCAGTATGCCATAAGACATTATGCTATGGAAATAACTAAAATATACAAGTTTAGCCGTCGCCACCAATATTCTTATATTCTTATTATTCTTATATTCGCCGAATATTCTTATTATTTGTAATTTTATATTTTTTTGACATATTGATTTATTGTTCCTTGCTCGCTGTTCAATACATATATTTCGCTACTAAATTCCGTGTCTACATCATTTCATCACCTCATCACAGTCCACCGCTCCGTAATATCCATATTACAAAAAGATTTGGTTTTTAGTTTTACGACCGGCCACCTGCCTGACGTCAACCCTATATATACTATATATATATATATATATATATATATAGCTGTGCTCGTATAATCTTTCTCCTTCTGTGTTTGTGATTGTGAATATTCAGTGTGGATGTACTAAAACATTATACGAAGTAGTAAGTCAGACCTTTAATCTATATACTAACCTATCAACCACGATACCGACATCATCATATATTTCCTAAACCATCATTGAAAAATATTTGGTTGCACACAAAGCGAGAGCGTGTGTAGTATGCGTGTGCGTGTGCGTGTGTGTGTGTGTAGTGTATGAGCGTGTAGTAACTCACCATGTTTGCTATTATTTCTCATGTGTATTGGTGCGCTGTATATCCGGTTCTGCGCATTTATTGAGTTTTCTTTCACATTGGCTAAATTTGTGTGCGACGTGTTAGCTGTCAAGTTGCCACTCTCCGATTTATTGTCCACGGTTATTGAATCCCTGTATTCGGTTAGGTTGCCATTCCTGTAAAACAAATGCGGTCTAACTACGAAAATAATTTTAATCATTAACTATCTGAACAATAAGGCTAATTTTTTTTCTTTTTTATACAACTTAGAATGGCAAATAAGCTGACGGCCCACCTGATGGAAAGTGGTAACCGTCGCCTATAGACATAAGCAGTACCATGGACATAACAGAGTTTACTGTTTCGCCCATGATACCGCCCATGCATTGCCATTCCTGAGGACTCAGGTGTTATTCCTCTGTAGCCTGTAATTTCACGCCATATCCCACCCTTCAGACAGAAACACAGCCATGGAAACACAACTGCATCACGGTAGAAACACGAATAGGACAGAGGTACCCAAGGAAACGACTTTTGTGCAAAGTCTTCCTCTGGTGAAAATATAATCTGATGGTAATATAATGTGGCTAAATATATGATGGTAGAAAAAATACTAAATAAATTAATTCGATTTTTATATCTAAAGGAATATGGCATTTATCCTTATTACCCGTTGATGTACCCGAGTCTATTTGTTATAGGCATGGTGGGATACAGCAGACTGGCGGTGAGGAGACATCTCGCTCTTGTAAAATGTTGTGAGTGTAATTATTGATATACATACATACTAAAATTACGTATATAAACGAATAAATATATATAAATAACAAATATACTTACACATATATGATATATACTATATTATACACGAATTTGGGAATAATATAAAGCACTTACTGCTCGGATAAAGATAAAAAGTGAGCGTGAACGCTTTTTTTGAAAGACGGTTTATATATCATACATATTTAATCACTTAAGCAGTTATTTAAGTATTATTTAAATAAACAGTGTTTTAAATATATTTTATAGTAAGACTGAATAAATTTGAATTTACAACGATGAATTGTAATTTCAGAGATATGGAGTAAATAAACTCTGTAAGATTGCAAAATAATTATAAAAATCAACTCAGAATACGTGGAGTATCGCGTAATATACAAACAAAAAGTATTGTTTAATTATATTTAATTTTGTGTTTCCTTCACTTGTTACATTTTTTTTTTATACAACTTAGAATGGCAAACAAGCTGACGGCCCATCTGATGGAAAGTGGTAACTGTCGCCTATAGACATGAGCAGTACCATGGACATAACAGAGTATATACTGTTTCGCCCATGATACCTCCCATGCGTTGCCATTCCTGAGGACTCAGGTGTTATTCCTCTGTACCCAGTAAATTCACGCCATATCCCACCCTTCAAGTCTTACATTTGTGCAAATTTTAATGGCTGTAAAATTACTATTTAAGTGTTTAATTATGTATTGTTTTAGCTGTCTGGTCGTCTTAAATAAATAAATAAAAAATAAAAGAAGAAAATCAGGTGAATTATAAATCTTTTCCTTTGGATTTGTTAGTTCCAATGTCTCTACGCGAACGTTGACTCATAGTGTAAATGCCTGAAATGGCTGATGGCGGTCTAGGACAATTACGTTATCGCGTAGGTATGCAAACATATATGACACAGCTATGTTTGTAAACAAATTGACCTAAATCAGACAGCTGATGATAACTACATTACGTATATATAAAAATTAATCGTGTACTGATTTCGCTAATTCTTTTTTGTTACAATATTCCTTGAAGTACGAAGATGATTTTTACGGAGAGAAAAATTTTAAAAATTGCCTAAAAAATGTCTAAAAACAACACTTTTCTATACTGCCATACAAACGACTCGTAATAACAAATGAGTGACGTTAGATTTGTATCTAATAAAAATTGAATTATGTTTATTGTTATAAATTGAAGAACCGATTTATGTTATATTTTCATTTACCATCTGGAAGTGGTTATACAGAAATAAAAGTGGTATTTCGGTTGGAGAAGGATATAATAGGTTAAATTTTATCTTGCACAATGAATAGAGTCAAGATTACGCGGACAAAGAACTGTGGTGGAATAAAAAATAAAATCCGCCAATTTGGTTTAATTTGTTTTATGAACATCTACATATTTATTATTAAAATGTAATCGCTTTCCATTAACTATAGCCGGTAGGGTAGTAAATTTGGGCAACCCTAATTTATATAGGTAATGAGAACCTCATTACCTCAGTACTTCATACCACTTACCTTTGCCGTTTCACCAATATGTATACACAACTCAACAGGCAGACAGTAAGCAATATTGAACTGCACACTATGACTAGCATATTTAGGTCGAACATGTCCGATGGTGGGCCGACTTCAGCTGAAAAGGAAAACTTTATTATAACTTGGACTACTAATTATTTTATTCTGTCACACTTTGTACTGATTCCGCAACTTACTTCACTTTCACTTCACCTATACATTAATTTATCTATTTTTCATATTCTGTAAGTTTTATTCAAGTGAAATGAAACGAAATTAATTAATAAAAACAATTAATTCCAGTTCATTGCGTCCACATCTTAATGCAATGGTTCTGTCATCGAGCTTTTGTTTGATAAAATACCACCAGAAATAGATTAATCACGTCGGATTAACTCTCGGAAATACACATATCGCTCACAAAAAAAATATACTACATATATTAACTGAAAATACTCAAAGAAATTTCACGCCGGCTGGTGGAAACATCTGGTGACCAGAAGGTTGGCCTATACTTTGGTCAACGCATTTCCATTGCTATTCAGCGTGGAAATGCATCAAGTATCCTAGGCACCCTACCAGCTGGCAGTGATCTCACAGAAATTTTTTATCTTTAAAATTATTTAATTATTAATTAAAAATTATTTATTTATTTATTTAATTTAAATTATTTATTTATTTAATTTAAATTATTTATGTATTTAATTTAAATTATTTATGTATTTAATTTAAATTATTTATTTATTTAATTTAAATTATTTATGTATTTAATTTAAATTATTTATTTATTTAATTTAAATTATTTATTTATTTAAAATTATTTAATTATTAATTATTTTATTTATTTATACATCAATGTAATTAACCTGAAAATACGTAATAAATATATTAACAGGGTATCCTAGTTTAAGATTAGGGTAATTGGCATGGTTGAATGCAAAAAAGAACGTGATACTCGTAAATGATTAATAAATTACATATAAATATCTAAATAAAGACAGATGACTTAAAACTGCTATTAAAATAATTGAATAATCGATTGGGCATCCTCGATCATCTTGCGGCCATCCATTCAATGGTCGATCGATCATCGATCTCGTGTGGCACGGATAAGGGCACAATTAAAGGGTTAAAGTTGCACAATATGTAATGTTTCGAAGGTGATAGATAGTAGAGAAGATCGTGGTGCTGCTCACGTCTAAATGTCGGTTGCCACGGGGAAAGGGATTGTTAGTAATAGTCTTAAGTCCCATTAGCAATCTACTCTATCAGGTTGACTTCTACAAGGCTCTCCTCTGAGAAATATGGTGGATAATTGCTGATAATCCGTCATGACCGGACTTTATCCTCATCTATCATCTTTTATGAGTGCCTCAGTATTGTATACAGATAACGAAGGCTAAGTTAGCATTCCACTTTCGTCCCATTAAAACTGATGGTTACAATTTTCCACCAGATACCCCATCAGCTTGTCATTCTAAGCTGTATAAAAGAAGATACTTACTACCATCTATATTTTTGGTGGCGAAACTGTATGTAGTAATGACGCTGCCAGCTTCGTTGGTTGCAGTGACTCGAACCTGGTACCACGTGCCGGGGGAGAGGTCCGCGATCACGAACGATCCGGTGCGGTACATAGATTTATCTTGGTACATGGTCGGGAGATTCCATGAGGAATGCTCGTTGTACGACTAAAAGAAATGTGTAAGGTTAGTCTAAAGCCATTTATGAGCAATTTATGCAGAAGACAGCCATCAGTTAGAGGCATTCTAGGCAGTGGCGGGGCAAGACCTAAACTAGACGTGGGCAAGATTTTGCGCGAGGCTCTTTGGTGATACAAGAAAGACTTTAAAATTAATTGTGTGGTTTTCTGGCTATAAAAGAACAAAAATTCAAGGCTAAGGAGAGAGCAGAGAGAGAGACACAAGACCGCGAGTCAGTGAGCTGTGGTCGACCACATCTTACGCCGCCTTTGATCCCAGCTAATGTATTTACTTTCTGCTTATCTAGCTCCAATTTGGGTTATAAAACTGTGATGAGAAACTTGTTTCACAGCACGTGAACATGTAGATACATGTAAAATCTTACAAGACACCGAAAATAGAGCGCATTTAAACGTTTTAGAATGTTCATACTTTAGTTTACTACAGTATGGCAATGTCACAGTAATCTGTCCATTTTTATAAACTTGAAGAACAATGTTCAATGTCTCTGATGGATTATTTAAAAAGTGTTTTGCTAGCGAACAAGAATTATATTTATTCCTTGTACTATTTGTGAAAGTTGAGCTTCTAACCCCCCAGATTAAATTGGTCCGAGTAAGGAAAAATCGAGATCTCATTTAAGTAACGCTAAAAAACTATACTTTACTATAGGATTCAGCACCCGTATCCAACTTCTGGCTCCAAGTTGTCTATATTCCACATCCCAGCCTCGAAGATCACAGCCACCATCGTCCCATCCAGCCAACTGGATATAAATGTGGCTACAGTTGCTCCATAACCAGTCTGCAGTTGTGGGAGAGATGGGTACTGAAAGAAATCGTGTTTTTATACGATGAGTATATTAAAGAATCACACAGTCTGTTTGAAGGTAAGTTGTTAATGTATTTCCTAAAATTTTGCAACACCATATACATTATTTGTAAGTTGCTGACCCTTGTGACGTAAAAATGAGGAATTTATTATATTTATAAGCTCGACGTTTAATAATATAATAGTAAGTGCTATACCAATATACTAATTTCATGCTCCTCTAGCTAAGGAATCCTGTATTATAAAAACCAAGTAACAAACATTTGATGGTATAAACCAGAACACCCAGACTTGAGAGAATTTAGAGAAAAAAAATCCTATTGGTTTGACCGAGAATAGAATCCGGGGCCTCAATACGCAAAGTAATGTGCCTACCGCTACATTACAAATATATCGTATGAATATAAATATCTTGTCTTATATCAGAAGATTAATACGAATTTGGGGGCATGTGCCCCCATTTTTTTCATTGCCAGCAGAAATAAAAAAAAATTAAACCAGTCATTTCAAATTATAATCTACATCTCTTGTTACTATCAATGATTTGTTGTACATAGAGTCCAGCAGATCTCATGCATGTTCAAATATTTGGTAAAAGAACAGAAGATGAATTAACAGTAGAATATACCTCCACCCAGAGTGCTAACATCCAAATAGGCCGGTTGAGATGTCCCCACTTTATTCGTGGCTGCTATCCTTAACGAATACTTGGTACCACACTTTAGTCCTGTAAGGAGATGCTTCTGGACTCCAGATAAGTTTGGCAGTTTGTGTGCAGGCCATGCTTCGTGCCAAGGTCCACTGGCTTCTTTCCATGTGAGACTGTAAGCTGAAATTAGGGGCTATTATTTTTATTAACTACATATGCCTAACTGCGGTTACCAATCCGCCTGCCAAGCGTGGCAATTACTAGCAAAACTCCCCTTATGGGGAAGGCTTATGTTCAACAGTGACCATTTAAGGGCTGAAATAATAATAATATGGTTATAAAATGTATTTAATCCGAGGGAGACTGCAAATAAAAGTCGCCTGCTTGGATACCTCTGTCACTCTTTTATTTTAGAGGGAGAGATATTGCAGTGAAATTAAAGGGTATGAAGGCATAACACCATCGTTCTCAGGAATAGTAACGCATTTGAAGTACCGTCGATATTACAATGTATTCTATTATGTCCATGGTGCTGTCTATGTCTATAGGGGACCGTTACCACTTTTTATGAAATGGGTCGTCAGCTTGTTTATTATTCTATGTATTATAGAAAAAATATAGTTAATTACCTACCTGATATGATAATGGGATTCACATAATAGTGATTTCAAACTTACAAATCTTTTGTGCTGAACTTCTATTGCTGTGGCTGTAATACGGTTGTTCCCACTCAACTAGTATGGAGTCCTTGTATGGTGTAGCTCGAAGAACAGGTGCTTCCGGAAGTGGTAGTACTATAACCATGTATTCTACGGAGTCTGAACCGTACAGGTTTTTAGCTAAGCAACTGTAGTTGCCGCTTAGAGATTGATCTATATCTGAAATTTGAATAGAACAGTTCGTTCAGAAGCACTTTTCAATTTGTATTTTTACGAGGCTATATTCTCTCTCAGATAATATGCACGTGATCTACCTGATCATGGTTTAAGTCAGTCAAACGATACTCACTATTTATAAGTAAACTGTCATCGTGATTCCTCGTGAACCTGGGATGGTGGGTTATAATGTTGTGTTTGTGGTACCACACGGTTCTGGGTGGTGGACTTCCCACACAATGGCATACTAGAAGCAGGGAACTTCCCACTCCCACTGACACTGTGCCACCTAGGGAAGCCACTCCTGCTACCACTGAAAAGAAATACGTATTTTTATCACTCATGGACCCTTGGATGGAAGGAAAACCCTTTTCTTAAAGGTCTTCATGTCAAAGGAACACCATCAATATATTAGTTACTTGATGCTGTTCACGTTTATAAGCGACCATTACTATTTTTCATCAGGTGGTCCTTGACCCTGTTTGCCCTTTGAAGAATCATAGATAATAGTCCTATTGTTAGCAATATACCATATCAGATCAATGTTTAAATGGTTCCCCCTGGAAACTGTCGTGGTGAATTTTTATAGAATTCACCACGAAGGATCAACTGATATTGCAGACAAAGTTACCATACCATTGATTCGTCATTAAAAATTCATCAACCATTAAAGAAAATATGATGTTGTTAAAGAATACAACACCAATTTATAAAACCAATACTTCATATTATAATCCACTTGTTAGAATGTGCTGACAATATAATGATCTTTTATGCTCAACCACAAATCCATTGATATATTCGACATGAAGCTGTTATCATTCAGGGGGTGCGTGAGCCGTTTGGCATGAACTTGTACGTTTACTAGTATTTAGTGATGTAGTTCATGTTTAGGATGGCTGGGCTGTGTTTCTTGTGTGGTGATAGTTTTATGGTATAAATTTCATTTAATGTAAATCATGTTGTGTACACATGTTTTTGAATTGTAACCTAGTATAAAAACCATAATTACCATATAAACCTAACATGGTTATAATTTGTTATTTGGGAGCCTCATTAAAAATAAATAAAATACCTTTATGCGTGGGCGCATGTGATATTCTCCTTGTAGGAGGGCCTTCGCCGGCTCTGGTGGACGCCGTGGCCCATACTTCATAAGTTCTTCCAGTGGTCAGATCCTTCAGCTCAACAATATTTCTGCTGGACACGTCCACTCGGTGCGTCTGCGGCGAACCACTGCTGTATGGTAATAGGGCATATGCCTGCTGTTAAAAATTAATTTCTCTAGGATATGAATGGATTATTTGAAGCTAGAGAAATGTGTAGTACATTTTAGGTTTTCATAAATATAATATTAGTTTGATATCTTTTTTTTTATGCAACTTAGAATGGCAAACAAGCTGACGGCCCACCTGATGGAAAGTGGTAACCGTCGCCTACAGACATGAGCAGTACCATGGACATATCAGAGTATACTGTTTCGCCCATGATACCCCCCATGCGTTACCATTCCTGAGGACTCAGATGTTATTCCTCCGTACCCAGTAAATTCACGCCATATTCCACCCTTCAAACCGAAAGACAGCCATGTAAACACAACTGCTTTACGGTTGAAACACGAATGAGACAGAGGTACCCAAGCAATCGACTTTTGTAATACAACCAAATTAATAACCTCCTTCTATTAAAATTTACCAGGTACTAAAAAAAATTAGGTTAATCCTATTTGAATTAAAGTATTTATATTCTTTTATTTTAGTATGTCTATAACATCTCGTACATAGTAGGTATTGCATCATAGCATTAATAATTACCCTAGACTGGGGGGGGGGGGGAGGGATTGTTAATAATGGAGACTAAGGACTCCATTGCTAGCAATATAACCAAACAGGTCGACCTCCACGTGGTCCCCCCCGGAAACCATCGTGCTGAATTCCAAGTATATTCAACACGATGGGCTAACTGCAGGTCAGTTAGCCCATCTTTTCATTCTCACCTATCATCACTCACTGGTGCCCCGCAGGCGTATACCGATAGCGGAGACGAGGTTACTATTCCATCATCACCCAATAAAAAAAAAATTACCCCAGACTGAATGAACCTGACCATGGTTATTACATCATGTTAACGCACGTGTCGAGTGATATCATACTAAGTGGCGAGTGCAAACGTAGCGTCGGCCTCGTGGGGGGAAGGGATCGTTAGTAATGCGGGCTACCAGTCCCATTGCTAGCAATATACCCTGTCAGGTCGACCTCCACGCGGTTCCCCCTGGAAACCATCGTGCTGAGTTCAATGTGTATTCGTCACGATAGGCTGACTGACCTGCCTTTTTTCATTATTCATCTATCACCCCTCACTGGTGCCCGGCCAGCGTATAGCGATAGCGTAGGCGGGGTTACCAATCTATTAATCATCCATAAAAAAAAAAACGTAGCGTCGGCAGACATTGACACCGTTCGCTTCGTAGACAGAGCGTTTAGACAGATGACAAACGAATTCGTCGATGCAATCGACATCGCTGGCGAGTTCGTAAGTTGTAATAAGTCATCCGGCATTGCTATCTCATTCTATCTCACGGACTCGCATGATTTCGCTTCATGAATTCGCTTGTTACTTGTATAGAGGGCCAGTTATGTCATAGAACTGTGGGCGTATACGTTATGAAATATCATTACGTATACGCTCACGTCGCGCTCAATGACGTCATTCTATTGCTATCGCAATAGAATGACGTCATTGAGCAATCGATCAAATGAAAAATGTACCTCCTTATTTGTGAGGAATGTTAGTGACATAGCTTCTTAATTCAAACGGGTAATATAAACTGAATGCTAATGTATCGAAAAACGTAATTTTTATGTAACCATGATTGAAATTTATAAGGATTAAATTTTTTTTTTATACAACTTAGAATGGCAAACATGCTGACGGCCCACCTGATAGAAAGTGGTAACCGTCGCCTATAGACATGAGCAGTACCATAGACATAACAGAGTATACTGTTTCGCCCATGATTCCTGAGAACTCAGGTGTTATTCCTCTGTACCCAGTAAACTCACGCCATATCCCACTCTTCAAACCGAAACACAGCCATGCAGACACAGCTGCTTCACGTTTGAAACACGAATGGGACAGAGGTACCCAAGCAATCGACTTTTGTACAAAATCTCCCTGTGGTCCCTTATTCGTGTGTATTTTAAATAAAATATTGATATATTTATTAATGTTAATTATAATGAAGCATGAGCATTTGCGCCAAGCAATAAAAACCAAGTATTTAAATCCACTTCTACTTTTATTTTCTTTATATTTCAGAACAATTTCTTCAGCCATTTGTAATACCAAGTTTGATTAATAAAAATTAAGACCTCAACTATATATATTACATTTTTCACACACACCAAAGACAATCATCCAGCGCCCTCTGGCCTACTCTATCGTAACTATTCTTTTTTTGTCTATGCCTAATGTTGCATTATTAAAAATAATAATTGTGGAGGCTGGAGACACAAAACGATTAAACTCAAAATTGTTTACGTCTAACATTGGAATTGTAATATTATTACTTACTTGCGAAAAGTCTAACTTTTTTGTAGATTATTACGATTATGATAAACAAAAATACAACAATGAATAAAATTTGAGTATATATATATATATATATATATATATATATATATATATATATATATATATATATATATATATATATATATATTCAAGAAAACTATGTCTTATTTTACATTTTTATTACTATTCATTTGCGATTAAAATGTCTAAATTGGGAAGTTTTTGCAACTAGCCACTAGACAAAATGCCACTTACTGGTTGTTTAAAATTTGCTTGGGTTTTTACGCGAGGCCAAAAGAAGAATTATTATTAGATTTATAATATAGATTTTTATTTAGGCCATTAGAAGAGAAAAATGGCGGGAATAGTGACAACGTCAAACCTCTCATGAACCTATTTTAGTTATTGAACGTCTCTTTCTTTTGTGCTAAATTTCTAATTTGAAAGAAAGTGACAAAATTTTGTAATAGTTAATTTAGGTTTGTAGGTTTTAATTTTTTTCAAATCAAATCACATCAAATCAAATCATTTATTGCACGATTTTTATGAATAAGGGAGTTAGTTTAAGAAATTTAAGAGTGTTTGAGTATATATAAATACGTGATGTAATTGTTTGTTATAATTCTGGTGTGTTTTTAATATTTCCTGTAAAGAAATAATAATTTTCCAGTTACGAGCCTCTTATATATAACGCTGGCAAAAATTGTATCATAAACGAAGTTTTGTTGTTAGCTTAAAAATGATGATCGAATGTCATTGGGATCGTCGACTAATATTGGTATTATATATAGTGCCATCTATGAACAAGTAGTACAAACTTATGTTGTGCTATCTAATTATGTTAAGTAGTTCAGAATTTTGTACAAACTGATAAGCATGCTTGATTTTTAGTTAGTTTATTTATATAGGAGGGTCGCTGTCTGGACCTTATCCAGTTTTAATGACAGTTTAAATATTTTACTGCCAACTTAGCTGTTTTTGTTTTACTATAGTTACCTATTTACGTAGTAAAATGTAAGGAAGATTCTTTTTGAAATTGCAATGATAATAAGTTGTATGAAAATGCTAGTAGTCACTTTCTAGGTGTATTTTGATGTTTGTTTAAGTATGGAAAGATGGCGCTAAACTAATCGTCGACTAATATTGGTATTATACATAGTGCCATCTATGAACAAGTAGTACAAACTTATGTTGTGCTATCTAATTATGTTAAGTAGTTCAGAATTTTGTACAAACTGATAAGCATGCTTGATTTTTAGTTAGTTTATTTATATAGGAGGGTCGCTGTCTGGACCTTATCCAGTTTTAATGACAGTTTAAATATTTTACTGCCAACTTAGCTGTTTTTGTTTTACTATAGTTACCTATTTACGTAGTAAAATGTAAGGAAGATTCTTTTTGAAATTGCAATGATAATAAGTTGTATGAAAATGCTAGTAGTCACTTTCTAGGTGTATTTTGATGTTTGTTTAAGTATGGAAAGATGGCGCTAAACTGTTTTTTTTTCTGTACATGCAACTCGCGTTACTGTCTCCTAATAGTTTTCATTTTCAATACAACAAATGAGTATTTGACCCTGACTATAGAAATAAAAAAAAATATTCTTTTCTCAAACATGCTTAGAAATGTGAGCATTATTTTGACAATTTTCTTAGAGATAAATCAAAATTGCCGTACTGTCCAGATACATGCGGGCAGCGGCCGGCAAAAGTTGTATGAAAATCCATATCTGTCGTGTTTTGCGGCCAGATAAATTACTATGTTAACTCATATCTGTTTTGTAATTTAAAAATGGAATGACCTTTTATTTCGAAACATGGCTACCAAGGAGGTAACTAATAAAAAGTTTTATTTCAATTTCGAACTGGCTTGCAAATAGAAAGCTGTTTATTAAAAAAAAAAAAACAAAGGAACAAAATGGCGCGTGAAAAATTATTATTGTTCATTATTCGTCATTAAACTTAAAAAGTAAAGTTGAGTTTTTGATTTCCGCGCATTGTTTGCGAAAAGTACTATACAAGCCTTGGCCACAACTAGGCATTAATGGACTCATGTATGTGTGCCTCGGCAACGCCTCGGCCACATTTGCACGTTCGTCCATCAATGCTTCAGTTGCTGGCCGCTGCAATAATGTACTATATCATTCTCTTATAGACAAAAACTTCGATTTTACTTATACTAATTAATGATTACTAACCTGGACGTGGGCTTTACATATATGGTGTAATACAAGAGTTCCCCATTAGGATGTTCAGGTCTCTTCCAACTCACGAGGAGAGATGTCGAGGAGAGCACCAGCACTTTGATGTCGGCTGGAGACCCTGGAACTGAAGGTATTCTTTTAATAAATTGTAATACATAGCAATATATAAATTGCACTTATAATTTTTATATATTGGCTTAACTTTGGATATTTAATACGTGTATATTAGATTTGGAGGATATCAAAATGGGCATACATACATACATACATATCTGTCACGCCTGTCTCCCATTAGGATAGGCAGAAACGATGGAACGCCAAACGCTTCGATTACAACGATAATGTTAATGAATTTTTCTGATATTTTTATATATATATATATATATATATATATATATATATATATATATATATATAAATATATATATATATATATATATATATATATATATATATATATATATATATATGATGAACGAACGGAACGTATAATGAATGATGATGAACGAATGTGCATGAATGAGTAGGATTGACAGATTGAATAAATAAATATAAATAAATATTTTTTTATTAAATAATTGTAACACCAACGCCAAGTAATGTGAGGGTAGTTTAGGCAAACAAGAAATTATTACATCATGGAAGACAGGCAATGAGGTTAATCATTATTCATAAGTATTTATAAAAAATATTAATCCTGGATGTAAAAAATTCATAAAAAAAAAATCTTGCTACGCTGTTCTTTATAGATAACGGTGTTATAATTTTTTATTTATCATAATTTTAAGAAAAATACGTAGTAACACAAGTTTTAAATACGTAGTAACACGGAGCAACTAATTTACATATTGTAAACCATTGATCTTACATATAATATATATTGTAACCTAAAATACACAAATGTATTGTAACTTACCATCTTGCAATGTAGCGCAGATTATTGGGTATGAATACGGCCCCGAACCGAAATTGGAGAAGCCAGCCACTTTCACAGTATAGTTGGTGTACTTCATCAGGTTCTGAAGGTATAGCTCTGTGTGCAGTGATGTCTGGTTGTACCAGGTGCCGTCTGTAGAAAGATTACAGTTTACAGCTTACTAGTTTGACTGAGATAAGATACGTTCATTGACCGGGAAAAATTTGTAGCCTATGTGGTTTTTAATCCCATATAGAAAAAAAGACTGTCCCATTGGGTTATTGATGACGATGACGACTTTCATACTAATAATATAAGTATAAAAATATGTTTGTTATTACTTAGCGTCTGGTTAATATCATACAAAATATAATTATTTCACCACCAGAGGGAGACTTTGTACAAAAGTCGATTGCTTGGGTACCTCTGTCCCATTCGTGTTTCAACCGTGAATCAGTTGTGTTTGCATGGCTGTGTTTCAGTTTGAAGAGTGGGATATGGCGTGAATTTACAGGGTACAGAGGAATAACACCTATGTCCTCAGTAATGGCAACGCATGGGGGGTATCATGGACGAAACAGTATACTGTGTTATGTCCATGGTACTGCTCATGTCTATAGGCGACGGTTACCACTTTCCATCAGGTGGGCCGTCAGCTTGTTTGCCATTCTAAGTTGTATAAAAAAATATATTATACAATTTTTTATACACATACTGTATGGGATGGACAAGGTTATAGGCTTCTTTTTTATCTCAGCCAGTAAACATATCCCGGTCACGCGAGCGAAGTCGCGGTAAAAAGCTAATACAGAGAACGCTCTATATAAGCAACTCATTTGAACCAATTTCATAAAAAAAAAATCTAATTGCGAAAAGTTGCTTATAGAAAAAAAAGGAGTATAAAAATACTTACCGTTTGGAAAATCATCATCTTCATCATCATCTTCCTACCCTTATCCCAACCATTTGGGGTCGGCGTAATATGATTTTATCCATATTACAAAAAGATTTGGTTTTTAGTTTTACAACCGGCCACCTGCCTGACGTCAACCCTCTTTGGGAAAATATTTTTACTTATTTATTTTACTAAGCCGAGTAGAATAAATAAAATATAAATTTTGCTTATAGAGAGTTTGCTTATATAGAGCGTTGACTGTACTTTATAAACCCATTGATGCAGACGAAGCCGCGGGATAAAAGTATGTATATATACTAATACTGGGGACGAAAAATAGAGAAAGGTATTTAAATGTACCTTCAGTTGTATAAAGCACGGTGTATCCTACGAGCGAGTTGCCTTGACCAAACAACACAATCGGCTGCCAACCGACCCTCAGCGATGTAGAGGAAACCGCAGTACATTCCACTGAAGATGGCGCTTTCTCTGGGAGCTGAAATAAAAAAAAACTGATTTTGCAGTAACATTATAAATAACTAATTGCTACTCCTTCAAACCTTTATTAAAATTATGCATGTTTATTTAAATATACTATGTGTAATAAAACTTTTTTTTTTAATTAAAAAACCCGTCCATTATCAATTAACACCATGCACGCTTGTCATTCAAATAATCGTTTAGTGTATAATATATTTTGTTCAATTTGTTTTTTTCAAAATAACAGTTTTAAATTTTTTCACAAAGTTCGTAAATAGTCCACAACATAAATATTACGATTTATAAAGCGAAATTACGTGTTATAAAAGTAGAATAATTATAATGTAGATTTTGTATAGCAACATCATTTGTAAATCAATATATAGGTCGTCCATTTTTGTCTCTTTATCTTGTTTTTATTTAATTAATAATGTAATTAATTATTAATTTTATTTGTATACATATTGTTAATCTTTATCATGTGTATCATTCTTTGAAGGGAACAAAGAGTTTTCATTCATTCATTTTGTTTATTTTGTTTATTAGGAAAAATCTCACCTCCTTCCCGAGTATCTTGAAACACCGGCAGTGAGTACGGTCCGGACCCAGCATTATTGAACGCCGATATCGATATTGAATATCTGAAAATAATAATAATAATGACTAATTAAAATTCCTATTGTTCTTTTTTTATACCACTGAGGTGGCAGACAAGCATACGGCCCACCTGATGGTAAGCGGTTACCGTAGCCTATGAACGCCTGCAATACCAGAGGTATTACGCGCGCGTTGCCGACCCTGGAGAAACCTCACGGCTCGCCATCGACAGGGAGTTCACCCTCATACCTTACAGCCTAAATGGTCGCGTACAACGCGGTTTCAGAGATGTTTTCTCCCACGAACACTCAGGTTATGGAATGAGCTCCCTGCCGAGGTTTTCCCTAGAGACTACAGCATGGGGTTCTTCAAAAAGGGGATATTAAGGTTTAACCCTTAAATACCTGAAGTTTCAAATTGGATACTGGGGTTATAAATCGCATTGGGCACCTACAATCGATTTTAATTTAATATTTGGCTGTTTACATGTTACCAAATGTTTTTTTTTTCAAAATAAATATATAAAAATATCGTTTTGATTTTTTTTTACTATTTTTTCCCCATTAGTAAACACAGTAAAGGGTACACTTATATATTTTTTTAATTTGATTTAAAAAATCAGGCTTTTAAGGGTTAAGGGTTGACAACGCGCGTGTGACATCCTTGGTGTCACAGGAGTCCATAGCTTTATTTATTTATTTAAATGAACACCAACAGCACATTGCATTATAACACATATAACAAACATTAAATACAATACAATATTAATGCACATGCCTATTATAGGTATTCACAGCATTTGCTTTAACATAATTATACATATAATTCCGTTTACCATCAGACGGGGCGTATGCTTGTTTGCCACTATAGTAGTATAAAAAAGTAAATATTACCTCGTGTTCTTGAGTAAGCCACTTAGCAATGTTTCTTGCTTGCCAGACTGTTGCATCACTTTCAGAGTTTTCTTGTCGTTCGCGTCTGAAATTTTTTAATAAGTTCGTTAGATTGGTAATGTAAAATTCAATACGAAGTCTATTCTTCGTTACGGGTTCGATCCCAATTTAATAAAATATATGTATTAATGAGTATTTTTGTTTCGTCATGCTCGCGAACGGGTGTATTTATGTATTTCTGGATATAAACCTAGTCAGGCCGACCTTCACGCGGTCTCCTTTGAATATCATCATGGTTAATTTCTAGTGAAGTCACGATGTGCTAACTAATCTGCATTCATCCTTCACTGGTGCCCCGTTAGCGTATACCGTTAGCGCAGGCGGGGTTACCATTACATTATCATAACATTGAAAAAAAACCGCTTATAATTAAAGATTGTATCCCACAAAAAAAAAAAAAAACTTCAATCATGACAATACCAATTATTTCGTTCCAAGAATTAAAGCATTGAAAAATTTTGATAACATTTCTATGGAATATACAAGAAAATTTTCCAAATTGTTTTAGAATTGACGGAGTTATGAGATAAAAAATATAAAAAAAAATACAACCGAATTGAGAACCTTCTTCTTTTTAAAGTCGGTTGAAAAGGAAGCCAATTATTTAAATGTCACATTGTATATACCTGTTTACAGTCGACTGTAAATAACGTCATATTGTGTTAAGTCACTTACACTAAGTGTATTAAAATGTAATAAATAAATAAATAAATATATTATTACTTACCTGTTTCACCGTTTTGAGGGACAGCTTTTAAATGGTAACCCATGATGATCCCATTGTGTGAATCCTTAAGAGGCGGTAGCCATGACACGTACAGTTCACCGGGATTTTCCGTTTGTTCCACTTGCAAGTTGACTGGCGGTGATGACGGTGCTGAAAGAATCACGAAGAATCATTGAAAAGTAAATAATTGTATGTATTTATAGGAGTTTTTTTAAGGCTGATAATGGAACGGTAAACTCGTCTGCGCTATTGGTAGACACTGGCAGGGCATCAGTGACAGATGATTGGTGAGGATGAAAGGCAGGTCAGTTAGTCCATCATAAAGAATTCAACGACCTGATAAGGTATATTGACAGCGATGGGGACTAACCTCCCATGTTATTTCAATATCAAAAACGTAACCTAACATGTTATTTCAATTTCAAAAACGGTTGTTTCAATATTACAAACAGACACTCCAATTTTATTTATATGTATAAGATGAATAAATAAATAAAAGGTGTAAGCTTACCTTCTTCGTGTGTGGTGAAGTGCAGTGGTAACGTGAACTGACTGATGCCAACTTGGTTGCCGGTTGCGACGCGGACGCCGTACGCGGTCGCCGGCCGTAGATTCTGCAGTTCTACCGTTTGACGGATCTCTGTGTCTTTCCTGTAACGTGTTCGTAGACAAAGTGGTATTTCTATTTAGAAAAAAAAAACACATCTTGTAAAATTTATATATGTATGGGATCAACACGGAAGTAATTGACTCGACTGCAAAAAGAATCATCATAATTTATGATTACGTTTTAAAAAAAACCGATTTGAATTGTGGCAAAGCCAGTTGTTTTGATATCATCATCATCTTCCTACCCTTGTCCCAATCATTTGGGGTCGGCGTAATATGATTTTATCCATACTACAAAAAGATTTGATTTTTAGTTTTACGACCAGTTGTTTTGATGTAAATATTAAATTTTTTAACTGATTTTGTTTAAATTCCTATGGGACTGGAGGTGAAAGTATCTTTTCAGATAGAAGAAAATTTTTTCAGAAGCAAAGAAAATTGTTCAATTTTCATTGAGAATTGATATATTTAATTATGAAATTGCCACATTACGATAAATTTGAACAAAAATTTAAGCATGAACTCTCTTAATAGAACTAAGCAGCGTTACCAGATCGAGTACTTTTTTGGGAATTTTAAATAATAGTTTTAGTATTTGTAAACTCTGTTTAGACATAAAATATATCATTCAAGGGAAAAGTAAGAAACAGAAGGAATGACTTTTGTCGTTTATTTTGCGGCACATGGCAAAACGATAAAAAACGACATAACTTTGTGATGGGGTAAAAATCATACAAATTGTGTCGATTTGGAGAAAAATATTTGACATTTGGGTAAAAATCAAAATTCGCATCTGGCAACGCTGTTATTGTTTTTAATAACATTACCTAGTAACATTCACGTTAGTGGCATGCTCCCACACACTGTCCCCGTACTGGGTGACCACGTATTGTACAGTGTAGTGCCTCGCGTTAGCTCGCAGAGTGTCCCGCCATGACACCACTGCAGTCCGAGACCTGACCGTCTGTATACGAAGGTCTGATGGTGGAGTAGGTGGCTCTGAAAGATATGTACTTGAATTAGTTACATTATATTGAATTCGTTAGCTGTATGCAAAATTAAGAATTTACCAATAAAATAGAGTATACTAATTTCATTCAGCGGTTTTACTCGTATTGATATCAATCACATAATGAATCCTATGTGCTATGTTAGGATAAAACTTATTTAAGTACTTTTCATTCAAAACCGTTTAGTAGTTTTTGTGTGAAAGAGTAACATACATCCAAAAATTAATAGTATTAGGATAAAAATTTTGTGAATAAAAAGTTCGAAAATAATACCAAAAAAAATGAGCTTAGCATGAGAGATTTAAAAATCTATCGTTTTGAACCAACGTTTTTTGATGAAAATTTTCAACTTTTTACTTTTAGATTTTAAATCATATTGTATTATATGTATTTTTAAAATCATCAACTTAAGAAATGACAAATTACATATTTCAGTGCAATAATTTTGTTTGAAAATTGTCACAATATTGCACACCGCTCTACCCGCTTACTTTGATGTTCTTTCCCACTTTGGGTGTTGCTGGAATAGAACTCTTTGAGTTAAGCTCACCTTTGTACATTTACTTACCTCTGTCATATTTTTATGTATTATAAGTGTGCACAATAAAGTATAAATAAATAAATGAAATGAAATTAGTACATGAAATACATATAAAGCCAAATTGTTCTCAAGTTATTGTTACAGGAAGATAAATTTGTATTGACTTACCTAAGATTGTTAATTGTATATTGAATGTGGCGGCCCCATATGGGTTGTTAGCTCTGCATTGGTACAAACCAGCGTCACTCGCCTCAGAATATTGAAAGCTTATAGCACTGAACACTCCTTGGTTTGTCTTCGATTCAGAATGTTTCATCCTGGAATGAAACAGGTACATTTTCAAACGACTTCAAAAAGAAGTTTATCATTTCTGTTGTATTGTTGATTTATGTTTCTTATCTCATAATTCTATCAGATCTAAACCGAATTGGAAAATTATTGTTTCATTTAAAAGGATATACTCGTATTTACAGATTGATTCCAAAAAAAATTTATGAAAATTCATCCAGTAGTTTAATTTTCAGATCAAAAAACTGATTTTGCCACAACTGAAGTTATTTCGTTTTTTTTTTGAGGCACAATCACAAACAAAAAAAAAAAAAGAGAAACAGTACATTATGTACAATTTACTGTTCTTCTTGTCATTTCTTGTCATCATCGTCATGATAATCATCATCGTCGTCATTTCAATCGCTAATTCTCCATTGATGAATATAGACTTCTTTCTTAGACAACCATTAGGGACAGTTTTGAACTACCTGCATCTAATGATTTCCTTTAATGCACTTATAATGTTATTATATAGTAATTATGTATCAATAGACACATTGACGGACTTTTAGCAAATTCGAATTTTGTAAAAACATTACTTACCTTTGATTTTGAAATTCCACATGGTTCCCATCGTGCACCCATGTCACTCTTATGGGCTCATCTCCCAACGGTCGACATTCTAAAGTGACAGGGTGACCCAGACGGGAAGTCAGGTTTGTTGACGATATTTCGAAATGTACCGGTTCTGTAATTCAAACAAATGTGCCAACAGTTAATTTACTTATAAGTCTTAGAAATATTAGTCTAATAAAAATTATGATAAATAACAAATTTTTTTATGTTTTAAAATAATCATTTTTAATCTATACTTTTCATTTTATTTCCTTATGTATATACATGTCGTGGTTGATTATTATAACTTTTTTTTTATTTATTATTACAAAAATATAGAATTGCAGAAATTATGTTACATTAGTATTCAGAAACCACGTAGGTGTATATTAATACTAAATACATTAAAACTAGTGGTATAATGCCAGTTACAGATCAAAAAGGGCATGAGTGTGACTCTGGCCGACACTAAAATTATGTGTCCAAATGAAAACTTTCAACTACCTTTACGGCAATGGAAAACGCCGATAACAAATCAAATCGATTGACTGAAGGGACTGGCTGAAAACCAGCGCTGTGCAGCTGTACACATTGCACTGGGACACTCATAACATCAGCTGAGCCAGTTCTTTTCTATATATATATTTTTTATTGTAGTTGCGTTTTTTTCTGGTAATATTTTCTAATTTATTCTAAATTAATCCAAATGATGTTGGTAGCTCACTCTCTTTACCAGGTTGGATTTCGGTGGAATATTGGCATGTCGCGTATTACGTTCAATAATAAATAATCGATAAATGTTCTAGCTATTTTATTATATTATTCTACTATGAATTATCTAATTTTATTAATATTAACTTTTAAGCTTTCACAATCATATTACATGACTTAGAATTAACGCGATGCTTTAGGTAAACTACGATATTTTTTATTTATTATTTTTAGCCGTTAACTGTTCAATGTTGAACATAAGCCTTCGCCATAAGAAGAGTTTTGCCAGTAGTTGTTACGCTTGGCAGGCGGGTTGTTAACTGGCAGTTAGGTTTTTACAGATGTTTTAAGAGAGAAGCTGCTGCCCATCCCTCCAACACCTAAATAACGATAATTTACTGAATTATATTGATGTTTCTACTAAGTTTCCGTCGGCCGTTGTCATGTATTGTTATTTACATCACAATGTAGTACAATGAGTTGGTAGAAGAAAAAACGTCCGCCTCGGAAGTAGAGACGTGTAGCGCAAACATCTGTTCATGACCACGGTTGAAGTAACTTAGTCGAAACGTCAAAACAACACAGGTAAATTATTATAGTTTATCTATACCAGATTTATTTAGTTTATCTATATCAAGTACCAGTTGGGAGACTTTGTACAAAAGTCGTTTATTGGTAGGCAGTACCTCTGTCCCATTCGTGTTTCTACCGTGAAGCAGTTGTGTTTGCATGGCTGTGTTTCGGTTTGAAGGGTGGGATATGGCGTGAATTTACAGGCTACAGAGGAATAACACCTAAGTGCTCAGGAGTGGCAACGCATGGGGGTATTATGGGCGAAACAGTACTGTTATGTCCATGGTACTGCTCATGTCTATAGGCGAAGGTTACCATTTTCCATCAGGTGGGCCGTCAGCTTGTTTGCCATTCTAAGTCGTATAAAAAAAAACTTAAATTGAATAAATTGTATATACAAATAATTGTCTAATTTTATTACAGAAAAAAAAATTAAGATTGTATTTTATGTACGTAAAAAATATTAATCCACTCTTGCGTCGCCTACCCACTTCTATCTGTTCTCCTTTAACAAAAGGTTGTCTGTAAGAGATTGCCCTAGCGTTAAGATCGCCTTTTATACCTTTATGTGTATATTTTAATTTGCACTTTAGGTTACTGTATTTCACTTGAATTGTTAATGTCATTATTTATTTTTATGTTTCTGGTGCAATAAAGAGTTAAATAAATAAATAAATAATAATTCTTCCAAAAAAGTTAGACAGCATAAATATGTCTTTTTATAAATTGAAAGCCATTAAATGTATATAAGGAATACTCATACATACTGTTAACGCTCATCCAGACAGTCTTGCTCAGCGGTTGGCCCACTCCATTCTCGACGTTACAAGAATACAGTCCTTCATCGGTGAGGGATACTTCCTCTATGACTAAAGTACCATTTGGTAGACTTAGTATACCACCACCAGCCAATTCTAAAACTGGTTGCCACGTGCCTAAAATAGCTGGAAAAAAAAAATAACGTTTTTAATTTATTTAACTGATTTTTTACTGTTTTTTTTTTTTCTTAATGATTGATAATGGAATGGTAACCCCACCTGCGCTATCGGTATACACCGGCGGGGCACCAGTGAAGGATGATAGGTGAGGATGAAGCAGGTCACTTAGCCCATCGTGACGAATTCAACAAGAATTGTTCACGATGGTTTCCAGGGGGAACCACGTGGAGGTCGACCTAATAGGGCATATTGCTAACAATAAGGTTATCAAACTCCATTGCTCCATTACTCCATTGCAATCCCTTTCCCCCCCGGTCTTTGGTTGGGAGTATTTACAATAATTTATCTGTGACAGTTCTTTTTTCAATTTTTTCAAGACGACATGAGGGTAACGAAATAGATTACGGAACAGAAAAATATTTATTTAAAAAATGGAAAATAAATGAAGGATTTTACCATCTTTTTTCATCCAATGCACTTGAGGTTGAGGGTACCCGCTGGCGCTGCAAGAGACTGTTCCTCTCCGGCCCAGCAGCAGAGAAGAATTGGTCGGCTCCTCCAGCCACTTTGGTGCCACTGTAATATTATTATTACTACATACATTTTCTGTCAAAAACACAGATATTAATTTAAACCTCTCTTTTCATTTAAGAGTTTCCTTTTGTCGGTGCAACTAATTCATGAATTTTCTTCCAGCTAGCTCTATTTCATGTCATACCTTTGACCTCCCTATACGACATGACACTTATTATTTCAATTGTAGGCTGTCCCATTTGTGTTTCGACCGTGAAGCAGTTGTGTTTGCATGGCTGTGTTTCAGTTTGAAGAGTGGGATATGGCAGTGAATTTTCAGGGTACAGAGGAATATTAGGGGAATTCATTCAAACCTGAACGCTGTAATATTGCAGGGAATTCATTCAAACCTGAGACGCTGTACACAGAGACAGTTAGAAACGGCGAGAGAGCCGGAGCTCTTCCTCACGGAGACACAGATATCCCCTCCTAACGAAACATCATACCTGACCTACCCGGGACATGTAATAAGCTTGAACATTGTTTTGTTTCGCGTGCCGGTATATGTGCGTATGTCAGAGAGGATATCTGCTGTCGACGCCTTGGGACTCTTGAAGGTACGGACCTGTCCATTCTATGGCTGCGCGTAGATTGCAATGACCATGCCCGCATCTATTTTATACAGGTCCCACAGCGGTAACACTGAAACCGACCAACTAATTGAGCACGTCCAAATGGCTACAGATTCCCTGCTTGAGAAAGATTCCTTAAAATACAATTTGAAGTCGTGATTGTTGGCGACTTTAATGCCCACCATGCCGAATGGCTTGAGTTCGCGTACAACCGACTATGCGGGAAGATCTGTTCATGACTTTGCTTTGGCTTATGGTCTGACACAGCTTGTTTCCTCGCCTACGCGAATCCCTGATGTGTTGGACCATTCACCTTCACTGCTGGACCTTCTGCTGACCACCCACCCAGACAACTATGTGATCTCCGTCGAAGCCCCGCATTAGATAAAGCATTTTCGGATCACTGTTTAATCGGAAATAAGTGCCTCTTACGAGTCCGACTCCACCTCGTTCTACGGGTAGACGTCGCATTTGGCACTACAGGTCGGCAGATTGGGATGAGATGCGGATTTTTTTCGCATCTTACCCATGGAGGCTTGTTTCTTCACATGGATGATCCCGACGCCATTGCCGATTCCATTGCTGATGTGGTGCTTCAGGGAATGGAATTATTTATTCCAACTTTGTGAATGCCCGTCGGATGGGAAATCCCAGCCCTGGTATGGAGCCTCCTGTAGAACAGCATCTCGTCTGAAACAGGAGTGCTTCCTAACCTGGGCTAAAGGTGTGGCGTCGCGAGATCCTAACACCAGTGCTCTTAAAAAGAAGTATAACTCTGCCTCTAGGTCTTTCAAAAGAGTTATAGCCACATAAAAAGTCAGCATTTTTTCCATATTGCATATTAGTAGAATTGGCAAGAGACTGGCTAGTTTGCTTGAATCTGGGACTCTTAACAGCTTTCTGGTCTCTTGCCAAAGCTGTAAAAGGGAATTTCTGTAAGTCATCCTTTCCACCTTTGCGCAGGAGGATGACTCGTTACAATGCCCAGAACGCTAAAGAAAAGGCCGATCTTCTTGGATCCATCTTTGCGTCAAACTCGACATTGGATGACGGGGAGAAACCACCACCGACCATCACGTGTTGTAGGAGCTCTATGCCTGACATTAAATATATACGCATAGCTCAGTGCGTAGAGCACTTTTCTCCCTCGAAATCCATAAGTCGAGTGGGCCTGATGGTATTCCTCCAATTGTGCTTAAAAGACGTGCGCACCAGAGTTGGCTCCGGTTCTTACTATATATTTTTTCGGCTTAGCTACTCATCGGGCATTGTCCCAAAGTTTTGGAAGACTGCTCTGGTGCATCCGATCCCTAAAAAGGGAGATTTTCAGATCCAGCTAACTATAGGCCCATAGCTATCACTTTCTTATTCTCGAAGGTTATGGAATCCATCATTAACCGTCAACTGCTCCGGTACCTAGAAGAGCACCGGCTGATCTGTGATCGCCAGTATGGCTTTCGACAGGGACGTTCGGCCGGTGATCTTTTAGCTTACTTAACACACCGATGGGCAGTGGCAATCGAGAGTAAGGGAGAGGCCTTAGCAGTTAGTCTGGATATTGCGCAGGCCTTTGATCGGGTGTGGCATAGAGCGCTGCTTTCAAAGTTACCTTCATTTGGGTTGCCTGCGAGACTGTGCATTTGGGTCGCCAGTTTTCTCAAGGAACGTAGCATTAAGGTCGTAGTCGACGGTGCATGCTCTGATTTAAAACCTTTGAATGCTGGTGTCCCGCAAGGCTGTGTACTATCTCCGACTCTGTTTCTTCTGCATATCAATGATATGTTACAGATAAGTAATATTCATTGTTATGCGGACGACAGTACAGGAGATACATTATATACCGGTCATGCAAAGATCTCGCGGGCACATACCGATTTTTGCCGTTTTTAGACTTAATGTCTGAAATCGAAACTTCACTCCATCAAGTTTCGATCTGGGGTGAACAAAATCTTGTCCAATTTAACCCCGAAAAAGACACAATCTGCGCGTTTAACCTGTTAAAAAGACGCCGTTTGTCGTATCTCCTCACTTTCAGTTGGCACTTCCCTTGATAAAAAGTCAAGTCTAGGAATTCTGGGCGTTGATATATCTTGCGACGTCAGTTTTGCGGTCATCTGGAGGAGAATGGCTAAGATAGCTTCACAAAAAGTTAGAGTGCTCAATAGGGTGAGACGATATTTCATGTAAGAACACCGCCTGAAATTATATAAAGCCCATAGTCAGGCCGCATATGGAATACTGTTCTCACCTGTGGTACAAAAGGAGCGCCAATAAGTACCAACTCCTTCTATTTTAGTACCGCATTCAAAGTAGGGCGGCTCGAATTATCGATAGTCAACGCCTTACTGAAAGAGAGAGAGAGAGAGAGAGAGAGAGAGAGAGAGAGACCCAGATAGAGAGAACTGCGCAGAGATGTTGCGTCTCTGTAAAAATCTTCTTTTGTAACTTAATTATCATGGGGATTGTTATATAATTGTAACAAATGATACCTGCTGCTGATTTTCACCACCGTACAACCCGCCACAAACTAAAGTTTCATCCCAATCATCTGGACGAATGGCGGTCTTCCACCGTTTTTTTTCAAGGCACTTTCTTCCACGCAACAACCATTCTTTGGAATCAACTTCCAGCAGCAGTATTGGTCCGAACCGATTACGACAACATAACCTTCAAAAAAAGATATTATAAATCTCTCTTTTCAAAGGTTTCCGGCAGCAACTACCTGCAATGCCGCTGGTGTTGTGGGTGATCATGGGCGGCCTAGTCACTTATTATTTCAATGTAGGTGTCCCATTTGTGCATGCAGTTGTGTTTGCCCCCTGTGTTGTCAGTTTGAAGAAAAAAAAAAAAAAAGAGGAATAACACCTAGAGTCCTCAGGAATGGGAATTTCCTTCAAGTGGGCCGTCAGCTTGTTTGCCATTGTAAATTGCAAAAAAAGGCTATTTTTTATTCTGGTCAGTAAACATATCCCGGTCGCGGACAAAGGCGCGGGTTAAAGTTAGTAATGATATAGACAAATGAGTTCTTACCTTTAATATATAATTCAGTGGACCTGTTTACTTTCGCGACGTGGTTGGACGCGACACACGTGTACGTGCCGCAATGTTCCAACGACACTTTCTTGATTACCAACGCGCTGAATAATTCGGAACTTCGTTCTACTACCTGTGAATGAAAAGATTTTTTTTACAACACAAAGGGCAAACGAGCATGGGGCTCACCCGATAGTAAGTGACTACCGCTTCTCGCATAGTCATTAGGAACGGGTCTGAGCCACTTGCATTCATTGATTCCCTGCAATGCATTTGAGGGCACTGCACTGCGACTGACATTGAGCTTAGTACTTTATTATTAGAGTCATCATCATCATCATATCAGCCTCTAACTGTCCACTGCTAAACATAAGCCTCCCCTTTTGGGGTTTGAAAATAGTTGCCCTGCTTGGCACGTGGTTTAACAACCACAGTTAGGTTTTGAAGATATTTTAAGATGGACGCTGCTGTCCAGCCCTCGTCCTTCCTTAGTCGCCTCTTACGACATCCATGGGAATGGAAGGGTTGGCCAATTCTATGCCAGGACCAAGACCAGAATATTACGGTAAATATTAGAGTATTTATGTAAAATTTACCTTCAAACTATTTGGAATCCTCTTCCCGTCTTTCAACCATTCAAAATGTATAGGCAAGTCTCCACTTCGAACATTACAGTAAATGTTAACAATTTGACCCTCTTGTAAATTATTTCCTAATAGTAAATCTTCTAAAATTGGTGCTTCGATGACTTGTATTTCAAATGCCCTTCTTGCCATTTCCCCTGATGGACTTGTAACAATACAAGTGTACACAGCACCGTTCTGTTCTTTGCTTACTTCTGGAATGGTCAGCACTCCATTAATGTTTACCGATGGCGCATCTCTTCGGGTTTTTCGTTTTAAAAAATGTAAGTTTCTTTTATATCGAGTTTGGAATACATTGTTCGTATTCAATATTTTCCCATTGTGCTCCCAGTCAATTTTGCTGAAAAAATGTAGTCGTTTAAAAATAATCCACTTTAAATTATAATTATTTGTCGGCTTTACTCAATCATTTTAAATTCGAAGATGCCCGACTACTTTCGAAGTCGATAGAGTTCTTATTCATGCGCGTATTAGATATTTTTTTAAACTACAGTAGCTTTTTTAAACATCTTGTTTTATAATGTGTACCTACATTTATTAGTAAGAATAAGATTGACCACTTTAAAAAATAATAAAATATTAAAATTGTTATTATGACCAAGAATTTTGGCATTAATAAATATATACTTGATAGTGTATATATAAGCATTTTTATTATTTTAATACAAGTATTATATATAACGTAAAATAAGTAAATATGATTTAATAGTTGACATTTGGCGTTTTATAATACTAATAGGATAGGACGTGAAAGCTTGTTTAATTGTTTGTTACATCTTAGCACCATAACGGCGCCACCAATCGCCAGTAATTAATTTGAAACTAGTCGAGCATTTCTGAATTTAAACGTGAGTAATCATATCATGACTCCGATAGTTATTATTAACTGTCAGAGGTACTGCTGAACAAAGTCGTTCTCAGACCTATTGGATAATTTTGCAGGCAGTTTATGGACCATTTAATCCGTGTGTGCCTTTAGATAAGGTAGATACATAAAATGACTACTGATGATGGTTTAAGAGAATGAATGGGCTGCTGCCCATCTTTAGATAATTAAGTTCTCTTTGTCAGACGACACGAACGAGAAAAGAAAGAGGTAGTCCATTCTATGTCGAGGCCATATGGGGCATATTTTTTGCAATTATAAAATAATAAAAGTGCAGCACTTTTTCATGTTATTCTAAAATAAAAATAAAAAAAAATGTCTTTGGAAGTCATTGGTATAGTAGGCACTAGGAGTATAATGGTCTCGCAAACAGGAGCAATGTTTGAAAACTACGAAACTACTTTTTGCTCGCACAGATCGGAATGGAAAGCTGTTAGTGGTTTGCAGATTAGAAAAGTTTTTACGGATCTGCACGGAATAATGAATTCTGTTTAAAAATTGCTCGCGGCACGAATTTTCTATTTGATTGTGGTAGTCGTTTAAAGTGAACATAAAATGGAAAACAAATTGACGTCATACTTTTATGGCGGTGTACAGTCGAACAGCAATATAGTCATTGCAAAATACTCTATGATAGCCATGGAATCCCTTATGCACCCTTCAATGGTTATTCTTGAATACTGTGGTGTTATTTTATTTATTTATTTAAACTTTATTGACCAATAAAATGCGATATGAAAGACAGACTTAATGCTATAGGCATTCTCTACCAGTGAACCTTTAGGATGCGAAAAAATGCGAAGAGATACGAAAAGATTGCTCTCTGCTTTACTGTACTTGTACTATCATTACATTTATTAATTGTCTTGTTAATTCCCTATATTGTATAATGCAAATAAAGTATACTTATTCATTCATTCAAATACTCGATGGCGATACAAAAATAAAATAATAGGTGTTATGTCTGAGAACATTATAATTTGACTGCCGTATCTCACTCCTTAAACCGAAAAAACTATGCAAGGACAGCTGCTTCACAGCATGGATACCGGTAAGACAAAAGTACCAATGCAGGCTGTTTTGGTACAAAATCTCCCTTTGGCCTTCCCAAATTTTTACTAGGAGATATCTGATTCATTTATTGTTATTATCCAAAATGTACGTTCATTATTATATGGAGTTGTACTTACCTAATAGGATATCCATAGTATGGGCACCGTAGATTCACTGATTCGCCACTCTGGATTTTTATAGGTGGCAATGATCTTATGTATGGTGGACCTAAAAATATGAACAATGGAATAAATTTTTTCTATGCTACTTAGAATGACAAACAAGCTAACGGCCCACCTGATGGAAAGTGGTAACCGTTGCCTATAGACATGAGTAGTATCATGGACATAACAGAGTATACTCTTTGTGATACTGCCCATATGTTGCCATTTCTGAAGACTCGGGTATTATTCCTCTGTATCCTGTAAATTCATTGCCATATCCCACCCTTCAAATCGAAACACAGCCATGCAAACACAACTGTTTCACTGTAGAAACACGAATGGGACAGAGATACCCAAGCGAACGAATTTTATACAAAGTCTCCCTCTGGTAAATGACTTTATTTGCATTATTATAATATATAAAATAATAGGTATAATAAGATTGTAACTAGGTGATGTTTGTTCATTGGAGATATTTAAGAAAAATTTATATGTAATTCTTGATAAGAACGATAGAAGCAATCATTTTTAGAATGTTGGTCCATCTATTTGTTAATATAATTATTTTGGAATCACGCTGAGATTGCTATGCTAAAATGGATGTGGTTCACATTGACAGTTGTGCTCCAGAAGGTTGAATTAAAAATTTGGTATACGTTTTGTTTTTATTCAATTTCGTACAAGTGGCCTATTTCTTTAAATTTCCAAGTAAAGGAAGTCGCAAGCAAAAGCTTGTGGAGGAAAAGTACTAAATTTCATCATCATCATCATATCAGCTATCAGCTAAACATAGGCCTTCCCCATCAAGGCAGTTTGCTAGTAGTTGCCACGTTGGTACGCGGATTGGCAACTGCAGTTAGGTTTTGGAGATATTTTAAGAGGGACGCTGCTGCCCATCCCTTCCTTCCCTTCAGTTCTCTTAGTCACCTCTTACGACACCCTCAGAGAAGGAAGGAGTGGCCTTTACTATGCCGGGATCACTAATAAATAGACTTGTATACTTTTTACTTCATACTGATACATATATACATAATATGCAGGAAATCTTAGGATTTCATTGTTGAATAATTAAGTATCCACATCCAAATAAACTAAATAATTTTTTAATTTTTTTTTGGGTCAATGACCTCCATTATTAGCAGTTTAACCTTTCATCTCGATGTCTATGCAGTCTCTTTTAAAAACTATTTTAGGTAATTTCTTGTAAAATCATCGTAGTACGCCAAATAACCAAATTTTCTCTTCACCTTATATCCTTCACCGGTACCCTACCAATATCGCATGCTCGGTTACTATTCACATAAAACATGGGATTATTCTTACCATAGACATCTAGTCGGTTCTCATGCGAAGCTATATGATCTCCTTCTCTCGCTATGCAAGAGTACACGCCTCCATCTTCTACTCTTACTCTTGTTATGTTGAGTTGAGCCACTACAGAGTTGTCTGAGGTCATCACTTGACCTAATGCATATCTGAAATTGATAGGTGAAAGGTTTTATAACGAGTGCCACATAATCACACCAACTTTGTTATGAGAAGTCAGGTAAAAAACCTTTGGGAAGTAACCCAGAACCGATACAATTCAGAGAAGCTCGTTCCATAAATTGGTCCACCGGGAATCGAACCGGGAACTCATTTACAAAGCAAAATCCCATCTAATGCATCATGGAGGTTGTTGTGAATGACTAGGTATTTTTTTCAAATAATCGATTTATTAAAATTAAAGAAGTTGCAAGGTACGAAGGAATAACACTGATTCTTTGTGGACCGTCACTTGCACGGTTGTCACTTTCAAGATTAGAAGGGGCTGGCAGCTTATTTGTCATTTATAAATACATAAAAAATCCAGCAAACCAATGTTTATTTCATTAGAATTATTTTATTGAATTCCGCTACCATTAGTGTGACTGCCAACATTCGAAAATTGACCACCTACTATTAAACTTCCACAACTTTTCATATTATTAATCAATCTCCGACTGTTATTTCGTCCACGCACGTTCTGCAACACGTGTTTCACCACTAAACAAGGCATATAGTTTTAATCGTTCGTACCGAACATAATAATAGTAGTGGAATCAAACTATATAATTCTAATCAAATAACCAGTGATGTGGACTTCCCCAAGATAACACCTAGTTTTACCAGAGGGAGACTTTGTACAAAAGTCGATTGCTTGGGTACCTCTGTCCCATTCGTGTTTCAGTTGTGTTTGCATGGCTGTGTTTCGGTTTGAAGGGTGGGATATGGCGTGAATTTACAGGGTACAGAGGAATAACACCCGAGTCCTCAGGAATGGCAACGCATGCGGAGTATCATGGGCGAAACAGTATACTCTGTTATGTCAATGGTACTGCTCATATTTATAGGCGACGGTTACCACTTTCCATTAGGTGGGCCGTCAGCTTGTTTGCCATTCTAAGTTGTATAAAAAAAAAACCTAGATCAGTAAAATACCCAGAAAACTCGCAGGTTTAAATTACTTCTATTTAAATATTATATGATAATAAATGCAGAAATTACCGATTTTCAGTATAGCTAGTCACCGTCACACCATCTCGTTCCCAAACGAATTGGGGCGGCCTGTCCCCAGTTGCTGCACACTGCATGCTAATCTGAAACATTAATATTACTACTATACTAATCTTAAAAGAAAAAGAGTTTTCAACCGCCTGTTTTAAAAGTTAAAGCATTTTAAATTTTTCCCGCGTAAATTATACAGAATATAATGTCTGGTAATTTAAGCTATGATCCATCTAGGTATATTGTTAATAATTCAATTGGTATAAAATATAATAATTTTGGTTTATAATGTCAACTAAAACTTCACTACAAGTATTAATTGCATAAAATTATTTTTAGTTTTAACACTGAAACAAAACATTCAACTACACTACGCAGCAAACTTTTTAAATCAATTCCAAGCTATTATTTTTTTTTAATATTTAACATTTTCAAATTCAGAATATTTAATTTAAGCGGCCAGTATACATCCAATACTAAATCTAAATGTTACAGATTAGTCGAATGTATTAAAACCTCTTTTTAAAGTGATTTTAAAAAGGTATGGCTAAGAATTCGGTAGTATTTTTTTTTATGCATTTGATATATCTTTGCTAATTCTGAATCGATTTTGATTGTTTATAATGGATACGATTTACTTTTTTTTTTTTTAATTAATACTTCTTTTGTAATACTGGCATACTGTAATTTAAACTCCTAGTCGCTTGGAATGCAGATTAAAATTGGAAAGTTAGTAAAGTTAATGCGAAAAAGAAAGCGATAAAGTGCGAGACGTAGGTATATAAGTGTAAAAATCTTTTGTCACTGTGTTAGGTCTGTCTACCCGTTTGGAGCTTGATATGAAAATAAGTGTAGTAAAGTTGCCTCAATTTTTCAATGAAATTTCAATATTATGAGGCATGCCGTATGATTTTCATAACTTCTATTCATCATCATCTTAGCCATTATCCGTCCACTGCTGGACATAGGTCACCCCCATAAACTGCCATAAAGAATAATATGAAGATTAACTTCTAATGGTGATTGTTAAATGAAATACTTACATCACCACCGGGAGTAATAGTTCTCTCAGTAAAATGTTGAGTGATGATAACTCTGTTCTCTGGTAAACTTCTTCTACACTGTCTATGAGCACCTGGAAAGAAGAATTGTATATACAGGTTTAAACTTCAAAGGTATAAGATTAAAATCATGTTTTAACTAAAAAGAGACTTAAACTCTGATAAAATCAGTTATTTTAACAATTTTGATAAAATTTCAAATTTGAATTTTTTTAATCTTTTTAGATAATAAAACAATTTTCCAAATCGGTTTATAAATGACGAAATCATGAAGTATTTATTGTAATATAATGGATAAAGCCACCCATTGTTTTCTAACACTTCTTGTAAATCAATTTGATGAGATCTGCTCAAACAAAAATAGATTTTTGTGACAAAACTTTTTGATCTAAAAACTAAATCATTGAACCGATTTTGATAAGATTTCTGTGGATCAATCTGTAAGATACTTATTTACTTCATTTTCGGCTAATTTGCCGGTTTTCTCAGACAATGCGTCCCAAAAACCTTTGGAAAAAAGATGTTTTTCGTGTGTGTATGCAAATATGCATACACATATATATTATTTTTATGGAGAATCGTGTGTGTGCGTGTCTGAGTGGTGTGACATCTTTAGTTTAGTGTAATTATTGTATTTCCTAGTACTTAACATATTATGGCCGAGGACTGCATGGCTGCTTGTTTTTGTAATATACCTTAAGAAGATACTTATTATTATACTTATTATATCTGTCACAGATATTTATTATTTTTACAGATCTATTTTTTTAACACGCCACCTACCTATTTATTCTTTAATTCTTTCTACCGAAAAGTTGTCTGGAAGAGATTGCTTAGCAATAAGACCGCCTTTTGTACTACACTATACGTATTGAAAATTGTTCTACAAATACTGTTATGATGATGCAATAAAGTATTAAAAAAATAAGTAAGTGTATTTTTTTTCAGATTAAAAAAAAGAATTATCTAAATCGGTTTAGACTGATGGAGTTGTAAGGTAACAAACAAAACAATATATAACCGAATTAAAACCTTCTTCTTTTTGAAGTAGGTTGATAAGTTTACTGCTGAAACCTTTTGAAGTAAATATTAAAGACTATCTTTTTATTTTACCAGAGGGAAAACTTTGTACAAAAGTCGATTGCTTGGGTACCTCTGTCGCATTCGTGTTTCAACCGTGAAGCAGTTGTGTTTGCATGGCTGTGTTTCGGTTCGAAGGGTGGGATATGGCGTGAATTTACTGGGTATGTATACCTGTATATAAATCAATAAAACTAGATAAGTTTAAATGAAATGAGGATATTTATATAGTGTGAAGATGTACCTACTAAAAAGAAATATATTTTACTACTATTTTTTATATTTTCTTAATTTTCTTTATCTCTCTTTGTAAATCTACGACTTTTCTCAGCGGTATACCGCCTCTAATCTATGATATAGCCACTGGCCGCGCCTCGTTATGAGCCAGCCCTTCGTTACGCCGGCAATCTGTCCCGGAATATGATTATTGCTGGAAATTGCAATCTGCCCATCGACATACTTCAACTATATTATATTATTGCTATTTAATATATTTAAATTATGAGTTAGTAGCCAATTATTTTTACCTGCGCTTTTACCTGCGACTTCGCTCTGTGTACGATCCCCAGCTGGTTGCTGGTTTTGTTATTAATATTTTTTTAGGAATTTGAATACAGAAGAATATAATTATAATTTAAATGAAATGTCGTGTATCTGCAACGTATAATACAGGGAAAGATCCAAGGTTGCCGAAGATCAGGAAGACAGTGAATTTTATTGTTAAAAAAATTAAGGCAGTGGTTCGGAATGAGCACCAGATCCCTTTGCAGGATAACGGTGGATAAGGTAAAGATCGCCATGATGATTGTCAATCTCCGGTAGGAGATGGCACGTAAAGAAAAAGAGAGAATATGTGAATATGAGGAATATTCCAAGAAATTATATGACCTGATGCCTTCATCATTTTTTCCACCATATTGCCATAGAGCTGGAGTTCTACTACAATTTTTGGGCGCGTGCCATACTACTACTGTTCCTGCATTCTGTTTATTCTTACCTCGTACAAACTATATTTGGGTTATGAAATGTGCTCCCGTTTTTAGTTTTCTTCAGTTTTCGCCTTATTACTGCTTTAATATGGGGCTTTTCAGAAAACGTGCCTACAAACATTGAAGAAGTCGAAAACGCACAAGCACCTCCATTCGAATGCAGGTGTTTATGGGTGACAGTCGCCATTTTACATCAGGTAGTCCGTCTGCTCGTTTGCCTTTCTAACAATAAAAAAAATAGATTTGTACAAAACTCCCTCCTTATCGACGTACTAGGCACCCGTTGAAAATGGCGGCAATTTTTCATTCCGAAACCATATAAAGAGATAGCTCTTCGAAAATCTATTAGTCAGACACTCGCAAATAAAGGTATTCCATACGGGTGTGCCGGTTCGCGTCGCGCTCCATTCAGTGGCTGATAAATAATGGCTATAAATAATCTGCCGTTGACGTCGGTCGTGTGGAGTGGCCTTAGTTCCTGTCATTCTGATATTACCGGTTTGTTTTACACCGAACGAGTTTTTTCCTTTGACCCAAAGAGAAGTTATACGTTTGGTTTAGTCTCTATCACTGTTTCTGGTATAGTAACTCGTAAAATGATTTCAATGCAGTTTCTTATAATATACAGCGGGGAACTAGCATGTAGCTCACCTGATGGTAAGTGACTACCGCCGCCCATTAGTACGCGCAACATTGGAGAAATTGCAGGCAGGCTGCCGGCCTTTTAAAAAGGAGTATACTCTTTTCTTGAAAGTTACGATGTCGTATTGGTTCGGAAACACTGTTGCTAGAAATTGATTTCATAGCGTGATTGTACGTGCAAGAAAGTGTCTTGAAAACTACACGATGGAAGACTCGCCATTCATCCAGATGGTTGAGATTGAACTTTAGTTTATGGCTGATTGCATGATTGTGAAATTCAGTAGCAGGTATCAATCCGAACAATTCCTCAGAATACTTCCCATGATACATTCTATAAAAATTGCATAGAGTTGCAATGTCTTAACGTAGTTTCAATACACAATAAGGCGCTGATCATCAATAAAATAAGTTTTTTTTTAAATGATTTTAAAATCGATTTAAGTACAATTTAAAGTTCTTATTATGTTTGATTTTTTTGTATCATTGTTACGTAACTACTTACGTAACTCATCATTCTCTTGCCTTTTTTAATTTATTTAGTGTCGGCACAAAATGGTTTCTTTTTCCAGAAATCCCTGTCAACTACCATTTCCGAGTTTACTTCTCTTTTATGCATATCATCCTTCACACGGTCACTCCACCTTTTCTTCGGTCGTCCCCTTCCTTCCATCCATCCACTTTCCTTAAAACCACTTTCTTTAAAACATGGCTTTCATTTTTGCGCATGACATGATCATACCAAGACATTGTATTACCTCGCAATTTCTCCGTTACTGGTTACCTTAACATATGTGCAGAAATTATTTTCGCTACCTGATTTATGTCAATGAATTAGCAAATAGGCTATATTAAGGAGTTTGTAACTTTGGCATTAGTAAGTCACATCCACATCTTCTCATTAGACTTACTCGATAATTTAACATGATTCTCTGCAGTAAACGAACAATGTCACGTTTCAATGAATCTGATCAATGTAACGCTAAATCAGTGCTCCCTCTCATTTGAAATTCCAATACAAACATGTTCGTAACATCAAAATTCAAACACTCTAATGAACCCAAACATTGTGAGTAGGTGCCGCGTTTTATTGGAGGCGAATGCCTTTTGTCGTTCGAACCGTGGAATTATGTTTGTTTTGTTTAGAACTGCGACCCTCCTAATGATTCATAGCTCTGTAACTTCTGCAATGGCAAATTACATAAAAGATTTTTGCGCGATATTATTTTCCGAGAAGATGGAGTGTTGTCTTTTATTTTGCTTTGTACGTATGCTTTCCGTTCGTCTTTTTGGTTGAAAATTTGTAATCAAATTTTTATACAGATGCTGCCATTCCATTGATCATTAAAATATTATTTGGATTGTTGGCAATATAAATAATTATTTATAAAATGTATAAAATACTTTTTTAAACATGGTAACAACGGCCCTTCTCTCAACCAACATCATAAAAAGTGCACATCTCTCTTTGTACATTATATATTTTAAATACAAATTATTTCAAAGGAGGTTCGATCTTCAATTTATATGGTCCCACAATAACGCCCTGCGAGCTGGGACCGAAGAAACCAGGAGCTAGCAAGTTACAAACTATGCTCATGGTTTTAATAGTGAACATCATGTAATTTTGGTGATAATTATATCTTATTTAAATAATAAAATTGTAATTAGACGATATCCGAATACAGGAAATATTTAAGTAAAATTGATATGAAAGTAATAAGAATTATAGAAGTCAAAACAATAATTTTTGATAGTTACAAGCAAAAAGTACTGCATCAAATTGGATATTGGTTTCATAGTTTCTGATGTTGTAATTTAAAATCTGCTGTATTTTTTATTTTTTATTAATGATTTGGTTATCTACTTTAAATATCTATGCATGAAAATTTGCGTTCAAAAACTATTATGTATTTTACTGAACTAGGTGTCATATTGCGGAAGTTCATATCATTGGTTATTTGAATAGAATTATTTTGTTTAATTCTGCTACCATTAGTATGTGTGCCACTGCCAATACTAACACATACTAACGGTAGCGGAATTAAACAAAATAATTCTATTCAAATAACCAAAGCTATTATAATATTAAAAATAAATATGTTCACGTTTATAATCATTCACGGGGTAGTTAGAGTTATTATTAGATTCGTAATTGTTTTTGTGAACATGTTAGGTACTTAATATTTCGACTAGCATATTAAAATCCATTATGTAGAATTTAATTATAACAGACATATTAAGGAAAAAGTTTTCAATACGTTTATATATCATTTGTAAACAATGATAAAATTTAAAATGAACTACAGGGTTACGCGTTTTAAATTCAAATAAAATATTTTCAATCTAATGTGTCTACGAAACACATTATTGTTCACAGGTGTTGTCACGAATGAAGTTGCATTTTAAAAGGCACTCTTAAAGTTTGTTCTGTGAGATTGTTCGTGAAGCGATACTGTGCAATTCCTATCTACAAAAGTCGATATGTTGTTTCGTTTTATATTTACCTCCCCGTCTTTTCCACTGAATACTGTCTAGTTTCCGACACTTTAGCAACCGTAGAACACTTCTCCGGGCACCTAGTTTTAAAAGAAACATTTCTATGCTTTAAATGGACTTTTAAGGTTATTCGAGCTCGTATTGAAATTTAAATAGTGTTTAAGTTTTTGAAGAATTTATTAGAAATTGGCTTATTGCTTGCTACTTGTTATGCGTGAAGGAATTCAATGAAATAAATAATTTCTATACTCTGTATTGCATATTCCGTGTGGTTCCGGCATAGAATAGGCCAACCCTTCTTTTTCCAATAAGAAAATATCTTTTAATATGTATATTTCTAAGCATATAACAAAGCTTTATATGAAATTTACGTTATATATTATCTCCAATATGTATTTTATATACCTAAAGTATACTATTATGTTATCTGTAATATGAATAATTAATTAATTAAAATATTCCCGACATAGAATAGGCCACCCCTTCTTTTCCCATGGGTGTCGTAAGAAGCGACTAAGGGAGGGCGAGAAATGGGCACCGGCATCCCTCTTAAAACATCTCCAAAGCCTAACTGCGGTTGCCAATCCGCCTGCCAAAACTACTGGCAAAACCCCTCCAGGGAGAGGTTTATATTCAGCAGTGGACAGTTAGAATCTAATATGATAATACTGCGTGGCAAGATTAAACATACACCAGTTTTTAAATAACATATACCGACAGACACAAAAATTAAAAAAAATATTATTTATATTTCTATTATTATTGTAATAATCTAATATCGTTGCGACTGTTTTTTGAATAAATAAATAAAAATTATTTTTATTCAAGTAAATTTAATAAATAAGCATTTTTGAATAGTTATTTTTTTAATCTACCGCCCAGTTCAGAATGCAATATCAGCTGAGAAGAACGGCCAAGAAATACAGCTGTTGTTTTTTTTTCAAATAAGAGTTAAGTGCGCAACAAAAAAATATGATCGGATAAAATGTCTATCACAAACTTAGTATTGATAAAAGAAAGAAAAAAGCTACAACGCTACAATCAACATAACCTTCAAGAAAAGAGCATATTCCTTTTTAAAAGGCCGGCAGCACACCTGCAATGCCGTAGGTGTTGTGGATGATCATGGGCAGCGGTAGTCACTTACCATCAGGTGAGCCGCATGTTCGTTTGCCCCCTGTGTTGTAAAAAAAAAATTCATTCACAGTATTCTTGAACAGACTACTCCTTACTAGAAGCAGAGGGAGACTTTGTACAAAAGTCGTTTGCTTGGGTACCTCTGTCTCATTCGTGTTTTAACCGTAAAGCAGTTGTGTTTGCATGACTGTGTTTCTCTTTGAAGAGTGGGATATGGCGTGAATTTACAGGGTACAGAGAAATAACACCTGAGTCCTCAGGAATGGCAACGTATGGGGGATATCATGGACGAAACAGTATACTCTGTTATGTCCATGGTACTGCTTATGTCTATAAGCGACGGTTACCACTTTCCATCAGGTGGGCCGTCAGCTTGTTTTCCATTTTAAGTTGTATAAAAAAAACCCATTCACGAGTATGACGGATGAGCCAGTCATCTTTGTATTCAATCATATTATAGGAAACGTTAAAGTGAGTATGAATTGTTTCAAGATACGCAATTCTCTTAGTAAATTATTATTACATTATAATTTTCCAAACCATTCAGGTATTGGATAAAACTGTACCTTTTTCTTTCAACGTGCGTTGTGTTAGGAATCGTGATCAATGGCCCAGCTGGCAATGTATCACGCTCGGATCATCGGCAATTTGCTCTCAAATATATCTTTGAAAAATTACTCCCATTTATTTTTTGCAGATGTAAGTATGATGAGCACACTCGTAGTTTTTTAGGGACTGATCTTAAGATTATATTATATAATTTTTCTCTCTGATCCATCGACAGTTACTTAATGCTAATTACACTTATAAAAGATAGATAGATAGATACTCTTTATTGTTTCCTCCAAAAGATTACAATAGTAAACTTATTATAAATATAAATAATTACAAGAAATAATCACAATGAGACAACAATGGGCGACCTTATCGCTAGAAGCGATCTCTTCCAGGCAACCTTTGGATGGAGAGGAGTAATTATAAACAATTTGGTGGGAGGCACGATGAAAAATTTTGTTAGTTCTAAATATGGGAGATGTGATACGTATAATAATATAATTTTCCAATAATAAGATACGTAAATACGAGATACGAATATTGTTATTTTATTTTATTTATTTATTTTAAAAGTACATCAACAGTGTAAATACAGACATTAATTTTAATTGATATACAGGGCTAACATCTTGCATTTACACCAATTACAGATGTACAGCACATTTTCTAAAGTCATCGATTACATATTAACAAAACTGACACAAACAAAACAATAAAAAACACAGAATACTTAAAATACAGAATTATTAAAACAGTGCACACACAATTAAAATTAATAAGTTGTAAAAAAATTATGGTTTTTTTTTTATACAACTTAGAATGGGAAACAAGCTGATGGCCCACCTTATGGAAAGTGGTAACCGTCGTCTATAGACATGAGCAGTACCATGGATATAACAGAGTATACCGTTTCGCCCATGGTACCTTCCATGCATTGCCATTCCTGAGGACTGAGATGTTTTTCCTCCGTACCCTGTCAATTCACGCCATATCCCACCCTTCAAATCGAAACACAGTCATGCAAACACAATTGCTTCACGGTTGAAACACGAATGGGACAGAGGTACTCAAGCAATCGACTTTTGTACAAAGTCTCTCTCTGGTAGCATTATGAGAGAACTTTTAGAATTTTATTCTTAAACTAGCGGCCCGTCCCGGTGTCGCACGGGTGGACATTTTTACATTTTAAAAAGTGGCCATTAAGGCTGCACACGCGACGGAAGCTTAAAAATGGAGTAACTTCTTCCGTTTTTCCAACATTTCCCTTCACTGCTCTACTCCTATTGATCATAGCGCGATGAAAAGTATACTATAACCTACCCAGGAGTATGAAGAATAATTGTACCAAGTTTTGTTAAAATCCGTCAAATAGTTTTTGTTTCTATAACGAAATTACAGACAGACAGACAAAAATTTTACTGATTGCATTTTTGGCATCAGTATCGATCACTTATCACCCCCTGATAGTTATTTTAAAAATATATTTCATGTACAGAATTGACCTCTCTACAGATTTATTATAAGTATAGATGACTTGGGAATGCAAATAATCTTTGTTATGCAAATAATCTGATATATGTATATCATACACACATCTATGTATTTATAATAGTATATATATAAAAAAAGTGTACATATTTTAAAAAGTCCATACGAATGGATTTTTTGATCTTATCAGTTTGTTTCGTCGTTTTTTATCGTGAACTATAATAATAGGTAATATAAAAAGCGTTCACGCTCACTTTTATCTTTATCCGAGCAGTAAGTGCTTTATATTATTCTCAATTTCGTATATAATATAGTATATATCATATATGTGTAAGTATATTTGTTATTCATATATATTTATTCGTTTATATATGTAATTTTAGTATGTATGTATATTAATAATTACTAGTACCGCATTTGAGTATTCTGACACTTTCCTATGGTTGACTGGGAGAGAATGCTTTTAGCATTAAGTCCGCCATGTACACTACACATATTTGTACTAATGAATAAATAAATAAATAGGTCGTTTGATCAAAAAACTTTATGCGATATCGCCATGCATTCAAGCGATTCTCCGCTTAATAAGGTTGGACTAATTAACTTCCAAGTTTTAATTGGGTCACACAGCCATAACTGTATTACACTCGGTGCCTTGTTAATATGGGGGAATTTGGGATTGGCGTTCAGTTGTATGGTGTATCTTTATTATATATATTTTTATGTAACCAAACAACCCTCCGCTAGATTTTTTTTAATACAACTTAGAATGGCAAACAAGCTGACGGTCCACCTGATGGAAAGTGGTAACCGTCGCCTATAGACATGAGCAGTACCATGGACATAACAGAGTATACTGTTTCGCCCATGATACCCCCTATATGTTGCCATTCCTGAGAACTCAGGTGTTATCCTTCTGAATAACCGAAACACAGCTATGCAAACACAACTGCTTCACGGTTGAAACACGAATGGGACAGAGGTACCCAAGCAATCGACTTTTGTACAAAGTCTCCCTCTGGTGGATGGAGTGACGACCTTAAATACATTACAGGGAGTCAGTGGATGTAGGTGGCTCAGGACCGTTCCTTATAGCAGTTTATTGGAAAGGCCTATGTGGACGCATAATGGCTGAAATGATGATGATGATAAAGCAAAAAAAAGGTTTATAGTAACCGTCGTCTGTAGACATGAATCACTTTATTGATTTAATACTGTGACGCCCATGATACCCTTCAAGTGTTGCCGGTACTGAGAATTATGGTATTATGGCTTTGTTTTCGGTAGTACACTGTAACACACAAGATATCTTTCAAGCGTTGTCGGCCCTTAAGAATATGGTGTCATGGCTTTGTTTTCAGTAATATACTGTGTCACCTATGATACTCTTCAAGCGTAACTAGTCTTGAAGACTATAGTGTTATAGTTTTATTCTCAGTAATATACTGTGACGCCCATTATACCTTTCAAGCGGCGCTAGTCCTGAGGATTATAGTTATAATGGCTATGTACACAGTAATTTTACTGCCATAATTTATCTGTATATCTCAAACTTTATTGATTATAATAGCATAAATGCAGATCTTACCTTTTATTGAGTAGACGTCTTCAATTCTCTCGTATTTTGAAAAATACCTGAAATAATAAATAACAATATAGATATTTATTATAAATGATAAAAAAAGAAAACATGTGCTAGATAGGTGTTAAATATATGTTTAAATGGATATTTTGGATTTTCCTTTTAACAAATTCTAAAATAACATTAAAATACTTATAGTGAAAAAGCCTATTTCATATTAAGCCTTTCTCTTGTATTCCAACCATAGAATAGGCCATCCCTTCCTTTGTCGTAAGGGGCGACTAAGTGAGAGGGAAGGATGGGCAGCAGCGTCCCTCTTAAAACATCTCCAAAGCCTAACTGCGGTTGCCAATCTGCCTGCCAAGCGTGGGAACTACTGGCAAAATCCCTTTAAGGTGAGGCTTAAGTTCATTAACATTATCATGTTGTTTCAGACACTATTATTATTATATTAGCTAATAATTGTCCACTGATGAATATAGGTCTCCCACATAAGGGGAGATTTGCTAGTAGTTGCCACGTTTGGCAACCGCAGATAAGCTTTGTTGATGTATTAAGAAGAACGCTGCTGTCCATTCCTCGACCATTCAGTCATTCATTTACTCTTCTATCAATCGTGACAGAAGAATCTTACGATGACATGTCAAAAAAGTCTTTGTACAAAAGTTGACTGCTTGGGAACATCCATCCCATTTTTGTTCGGCTCTGAATCAACTGTGCTTGCTAGCAATTGCTAGCAATGGTGCTGGTAGTCTCCATTACTATCAATTCCTTTTCCACCCAATGCACAAGGAGTATCAGTGCATCACATTATGTTTTATGTTGTTTATGGTATTGTTCATGTGTATGGTGACGCTTCCCATCAGGTGGGCTGTCATCTTGTTTGGCATTCCAATTACCATAATAATAACACCTGAGTCCTCAGGAATGGCAACGCATGGGGATACCCCCCATGGGCGAAACAGTATACTCTGTTATGTCCATGGTACTGCTCATGTCTATAGACGACGGTTAACACTTTCCATCAGGTGGGCCGTCAGCTTGCTTGCCATTCTAAGTTGTATAAAAAAGAAATCTACATAAAAAATTAAGAGTCTCGGATGGTTTCGAAAGTAGTCGAATTTTCTCGATTAAAATAGCGATTGTTATTACATTAAAAATATATGGTAAATCAAAAAACGTCATAGGAACGTCCCGATGATGACTTAACGCTTACACCATTTTATTGTACGCAGTTCCTAGTAAATTATATGGAAAATCAGAAAGTGAGAATATAGACATGTGTCAATTCGAAAAGTCTCGTTTCTAATTTATTTTGGTCGACCGAACCGTGCCTTGTTTACGTGATAGGCGTCGTCCCAAAATAAGATTTTCTATTTTTACAATGCAGCAAAAAAAAAAAAAAACTTTTTTTCTCTATCAAAAGAAGAAGGCAAATGTCAAAACTCATAACTTTCCGATTCAGTGAACATTTTTATTATTGAAACTAACTGTGCCCGTGACTTCGTCTGCTTTGTATTTCAAATTAATAAATAGTTAAATTAAATCATTTTCTCTCTAACTACACTGGGTTGGCTGGAAGAGATCTCTTTCAGAGATAAGTCCTCCCTTGCTAACAAGTTCTTAAACTAATTGTCGAATATATTGTTTAAGTGCAATAAAGAATATATATAGTTCGTAAAACTGAAATGTACCACAAGACACCTGGCATAGAATTGGTTCTACTTCTTTTCCCATGGGCGTTATAAGAGGCGACTAAGGTAATTTAATGGTCGAGGGTTGGGCAGCAGTGTCCCTCTTAAAACATCACCAAAGTCTAACTGTGGCTGTCAACTCGCCGGCTGTCAACAAGCGTGGCAACTATTAGCAAAACCCTCCAACATGGCCTATGTTCAGCAGTGGACAGCACCGGCTGATTTCATCATGGTCATCAAAAAATGATTGTTCTCTATTTGTACTTGGTAGTACATTAGTAGTACAAATACACAAGAAATTGCCTAGGTAGTGGCCTATTTAGAAAATTTCTTTAAAACATGATAACTTACTAGTAATCTATCATGGCTTGCTTGATTGATACTGATAAAAGCTATATCCATTTATGCAATTTATACCTTCTCAATTAAAAAAAAAAAAAATTAAAATCATAAATACAAACTTACTGTCTATACTAAATAATTTAATATAATTAATTATAATTTATTATTTGCAGTGGACAGATAATAATAGCTTAGCTGATGACGATTTATCATACATATTATTTATGCATTATATATGTACTTAAGTATTCTTTATATGTATTCGTATATAAAACCTCATCGATACTTTCTCCTTTCGGGTTCTCAAAGTTGATCGGAAGAAATCTTTTCTAAGTCCGCCTGTGTACTTTGTAATTTTTTTTATAACCTGTAATTTGTTTCAAATAGGAAAGCAGAGCTTAAACGAACAAACTCTTGCGTCTCTCTTTGCTGTAACTTTCAAAAGAAAGATGTTCTTAATTTTGATAATGATTGTTGCCACCGTCAGACCTTACCCCCGTATTGGTCTCATATTCGTTTTGTCACGTTTGATGCCTCTGTTTTTTTCTTTTACTTTTCTTGCTTTTAATAATATATATCTCAATATATATATATATATATATATATATATATATATATATATATATATATATATATATATATATATATATATATATTACTAGTGCTCGCACCTTTTTTATGATCACTTCGGAATACAATTATAGCTTCGCTGATCACAAACTTCATACTGATAATAGGATTGTGCCATGGGGGAAAGGGATTGTTAGCAATGGAGTTTAACAGCCCCATTGCTATTAATATGCCCTATTAGGTCAACCTCCACATGGTTCCCCCTGGAAACCATCGTGAACAATTCTTGTTGAATTCGTCACGATATGCTAACGGACCTGCTTCATCCTCACCTATCATCCTTCACTGGTGCCCCGCCGGTGTATGCCGATAGCGCGGGTGGGGTTACCATTTCATTATCACTCATTAAAAAAAAATAGGATTGTGCCACAAAAAACTGGCTACGATTGTGGCAAAAGCTGTTATTTTTATATTAACTAAACTACTGTACCGAGTTTGATATAATTTCTATGAGACAATATGTAGGTCCAGTGTGGTCCCGGTATAGAATAGGCCACCCCTTCCATCCCCGTGGATATCGTAAGAGACGATTAAGGGAACTTAATGGTCAAAGGATGGGCAATAGCGTTTCTCTTAACACTCTAAATCTAAAATCTATCTGCCCTCGGCGAGCCAAATGGCATCGGTTTTATGGCGAGCTAAAGAAGGGTACACTCGTCGTCATCAAGGAGAAGACGTCACCTCCATTAATGTGGCTCCTGGGCCGTGTTGTCCGCATCATACCTGGAAGGGATGGTGTCGCAAGGGTTGCCGACATCTAGACCAAGAAGGCTGTCATTCGGTTCAGCTGATGTTATGAGGTCCTAGTGCAATGTGTACAGCTGCACAGCGTTGGTTTCCAGCCAGTACCACTTTTAGCAAAAATATAATAATATGTATATTTCTATGTAGGTATTCGTTCACTCAATACTCTTTATTTCAGTTCAGTGACTTGTCAAAACATGGTAATGTCATCCATATAAAGTTGATCCCTAAACGGACTTCAACATCTCGTATTTAGAGTTCAAGTTATATTTGATAATGCAATATGTAAAATCGTAACGACCAACATAAGCGGAGCTCTGACTTAGCACATTTTATGTAAAAAGTAGGAGGATATGCTAAAATGTGACGTCACAGAGGTCTTGTTATGTGGTCGTGATGTTTGTTTTTTTATTTGACAGCGTATTGTTTAAAGCTATTGTGTTTATAATGAATGTTCAAAATATAACAAATATTGATGGGAAAAATAACATTCCAAACTTGTATTGTGTTTTTTTTTTACAAAACAGAGTGCAAACGAGCATGCGGCTCACCTGATGGTAAGTGACTACCGCCCATGATCACCCACAATACCAGCGGCATAGCAGGTGAGCTGCCGGCCTTTTAAAATTGTGTATTTAAAAATATTGTATTAATCAATACGTATAATAAAATCGTAACTGGTCCCTGTTTGTACATGGAAGATATATAAGAAAAACTATTATAAGGAGGCTTTGTGAACGCAATAGAACCCAAATCAATGAAGTATAGAATTTTCGTCTGTTTGTCTGTAAGTTTGTGCACGCTAATCTCAAAAACGGCTTAACCGATTTTAATACGGTTTTCACTAATGCATTGCAGTTGGCTACATTTAACATTTAGTGTTTGTTTTATTTCAATCGGTTCATAAATAAACAAGTTATATCAATCTAAAAAATCACATATAAAATACCCGATCAGTTGTGTTCCGAGGTGGATATGAATAAATAATCTGACTCCAATTTTAAATGATTATATTATAAAGGTTTACAAATAAATTTTTGCGCACGTCCTATGTAGTGGACGTCGAAAAGGGTACAGGCGAGCCAACCTCAACTGGATTGGGCCGACTGCGAGCCGATCGCTAGTGTTGTGCGCCGACATCCTCCGGGGCCTTGGAAGCATCAGCTTCCAATGAAGTCTCCTCTGATGGCTCCATCAATGGACAGATATACTTTACAGTACGTCGGAAATTGCCTGCTGCAGTTTTAATCTCAACAACGCGCACCACTCCATCTTGACCTGGAAACAGAGAGCAGATGCGACCCATTCTCCAGCACATGGGAGGGGAGTTATCTTCCTTTAACAGCACCAAATCATTTATTTGAAGCTGTCTATCTGGGATCCGCCATTTCTGCCTTTGCTGCAATTCGGACACGTATTCCAACTGCCAGCGTTTCCAAAATTGCTGCCGTAAAAGCTCCAACCGTTGAAAACTGTTTAAACGGTTTATCTTTTTATCCTGCAAATTAGGTGTCGGTAACGACAAAAGTGGTCTTCCAATAAGGAAGTGCCCTGGGGTTAAGGATTGAAGGTCATCGGGACAGGACGACAAGGGACATAGGGGTCTACTGTTAAGAATTGCCTCAATTTGACTAAACAACGTT